AGTGTAACATAAAAATGAACTACATGCAATTACCAGTTTATGTGAAATCTCATAAGGGATCCAGCTGGTGGTATCACTGGGTTGCATTTCCCTTTTAAAACTGCTATTCTAAAGAAACCAGAAGAAGAAAGAAAAAATGCACAAGTGCATTATTCAGTTATAGGAAGTTATTACAGCATGCTAAAATATTTCTTATTAATCAGAATATAATTGCCAATGTTAACATCAAAGGTATTTTGTGCATGTTTCCTGTGGAGAAACCTTAATGACTATTTATCAGTGAGGAAGCAGCATTAATGTAAAAGATGCAGGAACACACAGGTATAAATATTTTACAGTTCTATTACAGAGCTGTCATCAGAATATACCATCTCCTTGTGGTCAGCTGTCTGTGTGACGTGGAGTTGAAATTTATTTCAGCCTGCATGATGTGATGTGGGATCCACTTGGGTTCATTGCATGAGCAGCTGCAGTGAACTGTAGCTTGATGATATTAAAGCAGGTGATGCTCTCTGCCACTAATTTGAGACTCTCAAAACCTGAGTCAGAAGTGATGAGTCCTATGTGCAATTCACTGAGGGCTCCCAGTCAGCAGCTTCCCAGGAAGAACCAAAGAAACAGCGGTGGCCAGGGACCTTCCTGTGCTGCCGGATCGGCACATGCTGGGCAGCATGCCACGTGTTACAATCCAGGACAGTAGAAGATGATTTCTCACGGTGGAGCAGTATGGGCCGATCTGTTCCCCAGTCAGGTATGGAGTGATTAGTAGTCCAGGGAGAAGTTAAGTCTGTGATTTTTTTTGTCTCGATACCAGATGACATTGTATTATTGCTGTAGCTGTGGATTTTCACAGTAATAAGAAGTCATGTCAAATGGATACAACTCCAGTTTATTGTGACTTCCCTGTTTTGCATCTGTCTGCATTTCAGTAGAACTATCTGGTAAAAGCTAAGTGCTGTAAGTCTAGGTCAATAAATGATTTTTTTTTTTTTGAGACATTGAGATGAAAATAAATTAGGTGGGGGAGAATGACACTATATCCAGATTGCCATCATTAAACAGTAGAATAGCTCTAACAGTAGTTAGTTTATATGCCGTACTGTGGATAGACACAGGGTGCAAGGACTTCCAAATATTACGTGGCTACTTTTTCCAAAGCTAGCATGTGCCTGTGGGTCCTGCATCGTGGCAGGTGTGTATGGCCACATTAGCTGTGTACAAATCTTATAGCTGGCTTGCTTCTTGGTTTACTTTCACAGATACTCCCTACATACCTGATGTCATCACTATTACTAATTTAAGAGCTCCAACAGAGTTAAAAGCCCCGTTATGCCATGTCTTAGGAAAGCCCAGAGAGTGCACTGATAGGCTAGTTTGAACTAAGTTGAAAGGTTTGTCCTTAATTTATTCAACAACAGTTCTTCCTCTCTTTAATACAACGTGATCGTGAGCTTCTACTAATAAACAAGTCACAAATTGCTTGTTCTGTATAAAAAGCTGCAGTATATCGTTAGAGCTCTACAAGGTTAAGGCACGCATGTGATGGGCTCCTGAAACAAGCTGCTGAGAGCTTTGCTGTAATATCTGTGCTCCAAACTGTTCTCTGACTCATTCTTACCTCCCTGCCCGCAAGTGATTCTGTAAGTCAGGGCAAAATTTAGACCACTGTTTGTTATCTGGTACGTCTTCTTAAGATGTTACCAAACAAAAGGCTAACTTTAAAAAATGTGACTTATGTTGTTGGAGGAGGGCTCCAAGCTTGCCGAAGGAACGCGTGTCAGCAATTTTAAGCTTAGCAGCCACATAGTCCTGGAACGTACTTGTATCCATAGATGATCTTTGATTAAAAACTGAGAAATTTCTATTAGCTGTTCGATTTATGCTTTTGTCACTGTTTTTTGATCATTAATGTCACGCTAGGAATTTCTGTGCGTATGAAAAAAAAGTGCAAAGAAAATAACTCTTCTTTTATCTATATATTTGACACTGTTATTGTGTCCATAGAGAAAAATGCTTTTAATGGCTTGATTTGGCTTGCTTGCTCCTTTGGACAGCCATTGGGTGCTGAACAGGTATTCTGTCTTTATTTGCACTGTCATATATTCCCTTTATCTGTGAGTCAGCTTTCCTCTTGCCTACTGACCTTTTATTTCCCTGAATTGTGGCTGTTAGTTGAGGGAATGGGGAAACAGTCTGTGGCTTGGAATGCAGGAACTAGGATGCTACCTCTGTGCGAGGCTTTCTCTCATGCAGGTAGGCAGAGTGGATTTGAAGCCTGACTCCATCCAACATCACAGGGCCAGCGTAACCGAGCTGGGGAATACAGTAACATGATTTCCTTCCAGCTCACACCTGAATCATATATTAATGCATTAATTAATATATACATCTACATGAATATATGGATCAAAAGGGGTATCCTTCTTCAGAGGAGTGCTCTGAATTGAGGCTTCTTTAGGAATTGTTCCTGGACTGACCAATTTTTTAACAATCTGAGTTCTATTTCTGAGATATACCAACTGATGCAATCTAGCCTGATGTCAAAGAGGATGGCTTTTCTCCAGAAGTAGTTATCTTTAAAAAACCTTGAGAATAAAATGCTGCTGCCAAGTTCTTTATTTAAAATTCTGATCTTTAAAGTGTTTTATAATGATTTTAATCCCATTCGTGGATGGAGGTAGAATTATTTTAACTGAAAATATTTAAAGTGCAAATGTTTTGGCAGTAGAATTATTTCAGAATTAATTTTTGGACAGAGACTTTTTTGATGAAATCTGATGAAAAAGACTTTAAATATATTCTGGATTATTTCTTCCATTTCATATGAACAGGGTGTGGTATCTTGTATTGTTGCAAATTTGGTTACTTTTATATCACAATAAAGGCTTTAATGTCATAGGTTTGTATAGCTTCGGGTATCAAAAGATGCTGTTCCTATTCTAAACATGTAGATCTTGCTCATGGCTGGACTTACATGGCTGGGTGATGGGGTCCAAGAAGACTGGAGGCCCCGTGTCCCATCAGTGCTGGTAGCTGTCCTTTGATTGTATAACCGTTGTCCTACTGCGTTTCTCTTGCCCCCATCACTTTTGCAGCTGTGTCCAGCCCTGAAGCATTGTACGTCTAGGTTAGTGATTCATTTCTACTCCATGTTACTAACGTGGAGATTTATATTCATCTCTTAGCAGTTGGGTTGTAGATGCAGAAGTCAGTTCTTTGCTGATAAGCAATAGGATTCTAGGCAATTCCCCTACCTTGATCTGAAGTTTTCTGTAGCATTCACTGCCTTCTGTTTTCTCTCAGGAGTATGGAGAAATTAATCTATGCTACTACCTTGCTATCTTTTTTTTGGTTGGTTGGTTTGGTTTGGTTTGTTTGTTTTTTTGGCCTCCCCACACTTACTGTAGGAGTGTCAGGTCCCTCCATCCTGATGCCTTGACGTAGTCACTGGCATCTCTCTTCAGCTCTGTCTCTTTGGGGTGAGCATCAGAGGTCCACAGTCAACTTCTGCTGATCTACAGGGTCCTGCCACTGACCTTGCATAAACTCCAGTGTTGCCATGGGGTGAGCCAGATCATCTCACTGATCCAGCTGGAAATTAGTTTTAAAAAAATGCTAGTGTGTCGATTTTCAGTCTGATCAACTCTGAAAGGGCCTCACCACAAGTGCTGCTGTGACATATTCTGTATCTAATTGGCAAGAAGAAAAGCTTGGTCTGATGTGTTCCTGAACCGCTTATCAAAAGATGCTGTTCCTATTCTAAACATGTAGATCTTGCTCATGGCTGGACTTACATGGCTGGGTGATGGGGTCCAAGAAGACTGGAGGCCCCGTGTCCCATCAGTGCTGGTAGCTGTCCTTTGATTGTATAACCGTTGTCCTACTGCGTTTCTCTTGCCCCCATCACTTTTGCAGCTGTGTCCAGCCCTGAAGCATTGTACGTCTAGGTTAGTGATTCATTTCTACTCCATGTTACTAACGTGGAGATTTATATTCATCTCTTAGCAGTTGGGTTGTAGATGCAGAAGTCAGTTCTTTGCTGATAAGCAATAGGATTCTAGGCAATTCCCCTACCTTGATCTGAAGTTTTCTGTAGCATTCACTGCCTTCTGTTTTCTCTCAGGAGTATGGAGAAATTAATCTATGCTACTACGTTGCTATCTTTTTTTTGGTTGGTTTGGTTTGGTTTGTTTGTTTTTTTGGCCTCCCCACACTTACTGTAGGAGTGTCAGGTCCCTCCATCCTGATGCCTTGACGTAGTCACTGGCATCTCTCTTCAGCTCTGTCTCTTTGGGGTGAGCATCAGAGGTCCACAGTCAACTTCTGCTGATCTACAGGGTCCTGCCACTGACCTTGCATAAACTCCAGTGTTGCCATGGGGTGAGCCAGATCATCTCACTGATCCAGCTGGAAATTAGTTTTAAAAAAATGCTAGTGTGTCGATTTTCAGTCTGATCAACTCTGAAAGGGCCTCACCACAAGTGCTGCTGTGACATATTCTGTATCTAATTGGCAAGAAGAAAAGCTTGGTCTGATGTGTTCCTGAACCGCTGCTGCAGCCCTGCCTATGTGAGGTGCTCTCGTGGTGAGGGCGTTCTGGATAGATATGAGAGCACCGGAAAAGAAAAACGGCTCTCAAAGAAATGATGCTTGTTGCTTCATCCCCAGTTCTGGTAAGGAGTGGAGAAAGCAAACAAGTCAAAAAGCTGTTCTTGCTATCACTATCTCCTCTGCCTTCAAGCAGTTTGACTGTGCCTTGGAAATTGGCCTTGGGCCAACATGAATTAGAAAAGAGCAGTCACTGACGTGACTCACTGAGATCATTTTTAAACAAACATAACTTATATGAGAAGAGCAAGATCAGTCTTTTTCTTTTTTTCCCCCTAAATGGGCTGATGACATTTAGTTTATGAACGTATTATCATGTTATATCTACTACGTCTTGTAGTAAATGAGATTCAAGGTATGTGCTAAACAGTCACTGTCTTTGGCTTTTCTAGGACGAATACTGGACTTGAAGACTGGAACAGTAAAGAAGGAGGGTCAGCAGTCCTCAATGAGAATGTGCATGGGATCGAGACGCTCTTTCATTTGCAGAATGAGGTATGCATTTACCTTGTGTTCCTGTGAGGTTTCCAGATCCTTCTCAGATTGTAAACTTCAAATATTTTGTTGACTAATTTGACTGTTTAAAAACCAAAACTGTAATGACATACTCCTGTTAAGCATTCCCAGAACGCTTACTTTTGTAACTGGAGTATAGCTGAAACCTGTCCTTGTGATTAATGGCCAAGTCAGCACCCTATATATATGTAGAAGATACTTTTATCAGTGTGATGTGTTGTGTGCTTCCCCCGGAGAATTTCATGACACCTTTACCCCTGGAATGCAAATCATCGTCTCTTTGAGTCAGATTATTCGAATCAATATTTTGGGAGCAAAGCTTTTGCAAGTGTAATGAAAGCCCAACTCTGTGTATGTTTTCAGCAAAGCAATGATATTAAAAGAATCTTGTAGACAAACAGGAATTCAGTTGCAAGCTTGCCAGCGATGCAAGAATTAACCTAAGCCTGGGATGAATCGACCAGATGTCCGCTGGTCGAGTCTAGATAAATGAGTAATAGTTAAAGGGTTTTATTTTGCAATTTTCCAACTTCTCCTGTATTGCTTGGACTTTCTTAGAGATGTGTCTGCCCAGTGCTTCTGACTAGGACTTGTGGGCGCTTGTGTTGTTACAGTGTTAACTAGATTAAAATGTCTATTGCTATTGCAATAAATTTCTCTCTGTCGGGTTACTGGGGAAAGTACATAATTGCATCTGCATCCTATATCCAATATTTATGCGGAGAACAGATTATGCAAAATTTTTTTGGAGCAAAACACACAAACCAAAATATTTGTTACATTGCAACAGATGCCCATACTTCTGTTTATGTGGTGGATGCTCTTCCAGTCACAGGAGGAGGCTGAATGTATGGCTCCTGGGTTCCTTTGTTAAGGGGTTGGTATAGCTTACCATGCCTGCAAGATCAGATTTCAAAGCTATAGCTCCTTTTATGTCTACTCGTTCTTGGTCCACGCAAAGAAGCCGCGTGCTCTAGTCTTCAGTCTGTTTTATGACGATGTATGCAGGCGAATGGCCGTAATTTAACTAAATTGTCAGTATAGAAGGATGGAATAGGAATGCTCTGTCCCTGTGGGTAGTGATCATCAGACAAGCAGAACATGTCAAAATGGCAGCAAATGGCTGGGGCTACACGGTATTCAGATTTTATCGCTCCCCTCAACGTAGCAGGCTTGTTCTATGAAAAGACGACCTGTTTTCAAATCCCCTTTTCTCAATGCTCCACAGTGCGTGAGGTTATAATCTGCAAGAATGGGAACTAACTTTGTCCGCTGAAATTATGAATCCAGTATCATGTACACATCCTCCCAAGTCATGTTAAGAATGTTTTTCTCTGTTGTAGTTTATTAGTAAATAAAATGTGATATTCAGACAAAGATGTCTTTAGAAAGATCAAGTCTGATGTTTGCTTATCAGCAGGCATCTTTTCTCCTCCAACAAGGGAGAAACACAGCCGGTGCCAAAGACGGCACGGAGTTAGATTTTTGGATGTCGCTTAGCAAGGTTAATGCTGGTCCAGGAGCTAGGACATGTCTTGAGATGCATTTTTAGGGGTAACATCTTCCAGTGAGTTGCCAGCACAGGCGAGATGCTACTGATTGGCAGCAATTTGTCTCTCTGAAAGACAGAAGTGCCTCAGTCCTGGAGTGGTGCTACTCTTAACTACTAATTTCAAGGAATAAAAAATACAACCAGCAGAGAAACACTTGGAACACTGCTTACTCTTCCTCTAAGCCGCACGTAGCGATCATGTGAGGGGGATCCTTCTTTGTGCAAGGAAAACCATATTTAATGTCATGTTTACAGAGGTTCTCCAGCTTTTAAAACAACAAATCAAATCACAGTTATTTCCTAACGATCTGATTCTGTAAACTCCAGTGCTTGAGAGTAATTTTATACATGCCAGTAGTCCCATTGTTTTTCTAATTCTAGATCTTATTGTAGCTGTTCATTCCTTCTCCTTGGCAGTGACTGGTTAGGAAAAAAGAAATCCTTGTGGGAAAAATGATCTTTAAATTATGTGAACTTTCTTTGTGATTGCTTTTCATTGTTATTGTTCTTTTTTTCCATTGAGAATGAACTCTGTTTTCTTACTTTGAGCTATTTGCTTGGCTTCAAATGGATTATTATAATTATGCAGTTCAGCCCGGTTAGAAATATCACAAAACATACAGGAAAAAGCGTTAAAGTTGCATAACATTATAAATAGTCCATTCTTGCAAAGATTAGGTTAGTGTCTACTACGTCGTAGGTAGTGCATGACATGCATAATTTCTCCGTCTAGAGAGGTTATCAGTACGCTGACATTGTTTTGTGTGGATATTTTATTTAGGGGCCTGACTTGTATTCTTCTCTGGTTTTCACTCTTATTTTAGAATATTTTGAGGTGCCTTACAGTGCATCTATTCTCAAACTAGTCCTGGAATTTTCTGTTTCAAGTTGTCTTTCAGTTTGGGGGGGATTCTTTATATAGCTTTTTCTATTTTTCTTTCTAAAATCGTGAAAATACTTGCGATGCACACAAAAAACTCAGACTGTGGAAACAGCAAGTTCTAAGGAAACGTGTATCTGGGACTTCCTGTCAGAAGTAAAAATCTATTACTGTGTGCATGTATGTGCTAATAAGGATGTTAAAAAGCATTTTCATCCAAGGCATTTATATTCATTTTTGAGCCCTTTCAAATATGAATTTGCTTCTAGGTGTGGAAATGCTCCCCTGGATCATTTACCTCTGAACAGAATAACCACCATGAGAAAAAGATACAGGTACTATTACTTAATCTACCGCTACGCTTAGTTGCCATAAGCACGCTCCTTTTCCACTGGGCTAATGATCAGTCGAGTAGTACTACCTGGATGAACGTTTGTATTAGCATACAGCATATAAATAGCACTGGGTCACAGGAGAGAAGAACTTGCCACTAAATTCAACTGTGGCAGTATCACTGGATCCTTGTGCAGGCCTTGAGGAAGTCACTCAACTTCTTTTGTCTTAACTGTCTCCATCTGTGAAATAAAACTAATTATCTTCCTCCCAGAGGTGTAGGGGAAGACAGATAAGGCTTGAATGGCGCGGTAGTGGAGCTGACTACAGAACGCTAGGTTGAGGGTTGATTGTTTCTAACGTAACTTACAAATATCTGTACATCATTAGTAGAAGTTTAAAAACATAAAGCTGTTCTGCGTGTCAGTCAGCATCTTTTTTTTGTTTCCTTTTCATTTAGGAATGGCCTTGGCCCAGTAAAAGAAGGCGAAGCACAGTATGCTGTTGTCCATTGCACTGGCTATATCAAGGCTTGGCCACCAGCAGGTGTGTATCTCCTTTAAGGCAGTGTATGCTGTGCTATCAACAAGATGGGAGAAACCCTGGTTAACGATCCATTTGCTAATACAGAACCAGGTTGAATTTCTGTGGGGTAACCCTGTCTGTCTCATCTTGAGAAGCTTTTAATATCAAAAAATCAGCTGCTGTTACACACTCATGGTCTCCCAGGCTTTCCATGTGAAACTGCTCTCAATTTCATTGGCCCACAGAGCTGTAAGAGTTGTCCTGGGTAACGTGGGATTACGGCAACTGAGGCCAAAGGTGTTTTCAGTCAGATAGCTTACGTAAAAATGGCCTGATTTTAAGAAGGTAAACACAGAGCTCTTGTTTTTGTTTAGAGGTACAACTAGTGGTTTTGTATTTAAACATTGAGTTGCAAGCGCCGATGTATGAAAATGTTTAGTTTCAATTTAGGTGCATGTATCTTCACTTCAAAGTGGGGGTGCTAATGGGGAATGCTTAGCCTTTGTGGCAAGTTCTGTTTTGAGGCTGTTTTTCTGGGAAACAAGTCTTGGCGTGTTGCTTTGAACTCCAGAAGAAAAACATTTACCTACTGTAACTCAGTATTACACATGGGAATATTTCCATTTGGGAAATTCATAGAACAAGGGGAGACGGTGGAGTTCATCCAGGCAGCATTATGAACTGGATTGGCTGACCTTGGCATTTGCAGTAGTTGAAGAAGTTGTTTTTAATATGACCCTGTCTGCTGGCATGAATCAAACCATGAGTTGTCCTGTTCTTTTATGGCCGTATACCACAAACATAAATCATATTTATGGAGAGATTAGGAATGCTGAAAGTTGGCTTGTACTGAATGTGTACAGCAGATTCCGGCATACGAATGTAAACTTCTTGTTGATTTCCTGCTGAATTGAAGTTTCAAAGGTTATATAATAGTTTAGCTACCAGAGTTTCTCACCTCACGCACAAGCACACCTACATTCGCACACACAGTACAGAGAAAACTGAAGCTTATGAATGTTTCTATAATTTTGGCAGCCAAGCAGAATAGGGGTAATTTATATCATATGTTGTCTGTGCTTCAAAACCACAGTGCGGACAACAAAAACCTTCCTTCCTTTTGCTAATGAATTTAATATACTTCAATGTGTTATAGAAGTCAAAATGTTTCCACTTTGTTTCAATTTCAGAAGAGTGAACAGAACAGTGTATGTAATTTGCTCTCTCAGAATGAAACAAAACATTTTACATCTTCCACAAAGAGAATGATTTTTCTCCTAGTATTTTCAAATATAAGTGAATTTAGCCGTGATACGTGGAACAGCTCTACAGAAAGATGCAGGTCGAATGAGGTTCTTCCAGTTCCTTGCTCAGCTAAAATGGAAAGGCTGCTGCATGTGATTACATACGTATTCCTCTGATACAGAGCTGCAAACAAATGAACTCATGACAGCAGTATACCCGACGGTCGTCCTTTTTACGGGGGAGTGGGCAACTGCAGTAAAGGAGCAGGTTGAAAAGGATCTTCTGAGTCTTTGAGTGCCCTGTAGTGGAATATCACGCTGTTAAGTGCCAGTTAAAATAAGTGAGGCATTTTCCCCTGTTCCAGCTCTTTCAAAACCTCACTGTTCTGTCATGGTTAGGAACGTCTCTCTAATTTCCAGTCTTCATTAGTTTATGAGCAGTTCATGGCAGCGTATTCTTGGGCTAGTATTTCCCTTAAGGTCAAACAGGAGTCTTCCTGCCTTATTTCTCTGTTTCTCGCACGTTCTGGTGTATTTCCAGACAGAAGTCATATCCTGTCAGTCTTGACTTTGCTCAGTTAAACAAGCCCACTTCTTCTAATCTCCCCTATTGTGATGCATTTTATTTTCTTCTCTTTATCCTTGTATTTTTTCTCTGCACTTATCCCTGTTTTAATTTAACTTTTCAAAATGTGGGTGACCAGAACTATACACTGTTCCAGATGAGATTGTAGTGGTGTATAATGACAGTGGAATTTCCTATCTTTCCTCTCGCTGTAGGATATTGCCTATTTTTCTTTTGTATGGTGCATCCTGCTGCATCCTAAATCACCTACTGTGCATACAAGGCTACCTTCTTAGTTGTTCTCAACACAAATCTTCCAGTTGATAGCAAAAATCATTTTCAGTTATGTGATCTTTTGTTTAGCAATACAAACTCTAGCAATAGCAATGGGATGAAAGTTTATGACAATTATTAGTCCCCAAGTGCATGCTTGTGCATTTAGTAATGTTGAATTTCATTCCATTTCTATTACTCTATTCCTCAAGATCACATGGTGCTCCCCTTTTGATATCCCAGTGCTCCTCCAGAATGTTAATGCCTCCAAACTGTATCACGCTCCTAAGGGATGTCATAGTTTTTGACACTCTTGTGTGGAATTTCAGTGGTCCTTTATGTTATCGTCCAAATTGTTACTCATCACAGTCATGCTTGGGTGCCTTTTTCAGGGTATATAGTACAGAATCAAGGCATTTTTCGTGAGTGTTCATTTCCCTTCCCATTCTTCCCCACTTTGTGCTGGTGTTTGTCACGTATCCCTTAATTTTGGGAGTTGAATGGGGATATCTAAGGGCTGAATTGGTCCCCAGTACTTTGAGTAATCAGTGGCAACATCACTGTGTGTGTTGTTATTTCTGATAGCAGTTCAACCGTAATGTGCAAAGCAAATGAAATAACTGTGGGAGTAATTGGATTTGCTAAAGCTCTTCTACCCTGTAATAAAATTACTTTTGTTCAAATCAGGTAGAGAGTAGCAAACCCCTGGGCTTTGCTTAGTCTCTGGGTCATTGGGAATAAATGAGTTCATGCCAAATCACGTATGTTTTGAAAATCAGCCAGGGAAAGGATCACTGTCATTTATTTTTCAGTTGCCAAGCGGACACTCTAATATATACTCCATATCCTTTTCTTTCAGAGCATGCAAAAATTGAGTTATGCAGCTAATGTAAAGCACTTAAGAGAGTAATACATAATTTCATAGACAAAGTAACAAATATCTGGAAAATACACTCAATATGCATTTGTTCAGCACCTTCTGTTGTCTCTTTCTGGGTTACATTGTATTGTCTGTGGCCAGTGTGTTACATTTTTATTTAGTCCCGCAGGGAGTGTAAGGCAGTCGGCGGCGGTACAGAAGTATCGAGAGAAGAACTGCTCTGTGATCAATATTAATATGATAGACCAGCTGATTTGAATATCTAATATCATAGACTTAAGATGTGAAGATGCTGCTGCTGTCAGTAGTCCGTGCTAATTCTCTGATTAATCTGAATATTTAAAACAGGTAAAAACAAATCAACTAGACCAGCTGGCATCAGTATGGCATGGTATTTTAAGGACTGGGTTGTTTTGGTTTTGTTTCAGTGATCTACAGTAGAAAGAGAACTCTGTTATGGCTCAGGTCTGGTGGCACTGTTTGCTCCCAGCACAATCTCTAAGGGAATTTAAGAACATTGTCAGCATGAAATCACTTTTTTTTTCTCTCTCTCCCCCTTACCTTTATGGAGCAGCAAAGCTCACTTACTTATTAGACAGGCTGCCTTTAGCCCTTTTTCACTGTTATAGACTGCCTTTAGCCCTTTTCATTGCATGAGAAAAGGGAGAGAAAACGCAGGAAGTGTCACACCTCATCCTCTGCGCGGACGCGAACCCAGAACATGTAGGGCCCACGAAGAGCACCCGCCTCGCTGGTGTTTCCTAGCAAAGCAGACCCAAAGAGTGCCGCAGCCTGCACGCGCTGCGCGTTGCCCTGGAGAAGGAGCCGTTTGGCTGCTGCCTTGGAGCAGTGCGTTCGCCTCTGGGTGAGGGAGCGACGCAGAGAAGGCCGCTTTCAGGAGCGGATTTATTCAGGCCGAGTTTCTTAACGGTCCATTCATTTTCCTTCGTTGTGCCTGCAGCAGAAGGGTAAAATTAAGCTCAGTACAAGAGCCCAGCGTATGACACAGGCACACTTATACCCTTGTCAATTATATATTGGCCTCGTGTGGACACTCTGCCTTGGGGTAAACTTTGTCGGGGAGACAAATGAAAAAGAAGTCGGATATTCCAGCGCCGCTTTCCAGCCGATTGCATTGTTGATTTCGTAAGCGTAAGGTATGTTAGAATAAACGATGACAGTGCAGTGTTGTATTGTTTTGAATGAGGTAAAACACCCCTTGTTTGAAACTGGCCGAGTACCAATTCCAGCCGTGGCTCCTCTGTTTTCTGTGAAGCAGCACAGCTGGCAGAACTTGGGACGCTCAGCCTAGAGAACGCTTCCGGCGGGTAACCAGGCGCACAGCTTGGAAATGCTAACCTTCTCCTGATCGTTTAGTTCTAAACTTAAGCAAGCATTTACTTTTCTGGGTTTTTTTCCCCTCCTCAGAGAATGTTATTCCTGGAAGGAAATGAGTCTTATGTGGTCCATATGATATTTTCCTAATAGTTTTCTTCATGCCATAACAATTGGTGGAAAATATTTGGTTGAGAGAGAAGCTATGGTCTGTCAGGATGTTGCTAGTTTTCTGTAAATCAATGCCAGGACCTGCAGAAAACAACATTCTGAAGAAAAGGCTTAAGTAGATACTTATTTCGAAAACTTCAAATAAAAAATAATCCCAGAATAATGATGAATTCAAATAATGTTGAAATCTTTTTTTTTTTCTTCCTTAGTTTTTTTTAATCTTAAAAAAAGAAACATATTAGTCTTCCAAGTCAGACTTACGGTAACATCTTAACCACAACATGCCAAAGTTGTTAGATTATTTTAAAGTTTTTGCCAGAATGTGGACGTTTGTGCAGCGTACTCCCATTTCCAATACAAAACAAAACAGTTGCTTGAATATTCATTGCAGTGCTGTCATTTTTAAAGGCTTTATTTAAAAAAAAAAAAAACTTCATTATTTTATTGGGATTTTTTTCACAAGATTTGCTCCTTGGTATGCTGTAAACATCCACAGAACTTTTTTCTGAAAGCCCTTTTCCACTGTTGTGCGTGAGAGGCTTCTTCAGGAGGTAGCATGATGCAGTTTTGCTCTATCAGTAATTGCTCTGAAGGAGACGGGCATTTTCAGGGGATTGCTAGTGACCATTGTGGATTTAATTCTGTCTTTGTAAACACTCATAAATCATTTATTTTTCAGTGTAGTGAAGTGAAACCACAAACCCACTGACACTGTTCCGTGTCTCGCTGAAAATACAGGGCAGAGGGATGGAGGTGGAAGGCAGAAAATGAAGCTGCCCTGTTGGTAGGGACAACTGGAAGCTCAGTGGGGAAAACTAAAACGTAATAATAATAATTTCCTTATGTCCACCCAAACGCATGCCATTGCCCTGTGGGATACCGTTTGCTGGCATCCAGGGACACTAGGAAATTAAATATAACCTCTAGCTGCACAGTGTTTTATTTGTGATGTTCAGTTGCAAGCTTAGCTTTGCAAATTGTTGATACTAACCTGAACAAGCATAGCACTGTATTTATTATCCAAGGGAAGCGTGTATTTGGTGTTGAGAAATAAAGCCTCTCTCAGGGTTGCATGTGAAGAATGTGAATAACTCATGTTTATTTTGCTTATGCTTTCTAAAAGGTCAGTTCCATGGCCTTTCTCCTGGATGCTTTTAGAACTTTTTCTTTTGGAAATACTGATGTCTTGATGAACTTATGGGGCAGTATTGCATTCTGTCAAGAGCTGGACAAACCAGTATTAAGGGCAGTGCCCATATCTTTCTTCACCTGTCCTTACTGGAGTATGTTCAATACGAAGTATATTAAAGCAAAAGTAAATCTCCTCTACAACTGCATCTCATATATAAGCACATGCACAGTAGAATCTTTGTAACTATCAGCAAGAAAATAATTTCTACCCATGGAATCCATAATAGCACCCAAATTGCAGGCAAGCAGGCAATCATTTTGGCATCTTTTTCCTCTAGGCGCTTAGGGAAGGGTTAGCAATTCACTGGGTCATGTATTGATTAATTCCAGGCAGATTGTTTTTATTCATAGTGTGCCTTGTGGGATAACGCAACTAATAAATTTTCCAATATGTTATGCAGACTTAATATAATCCATCTTGGAGAAGGAAAAAAAAAAAGTGAAATTTAGAACAACAACTTCCCTTGCCAACATTGAGTTCCATCAGGAATGGCGTTTCTTAGCTAGGTTTAATTTTGGAGATTGTTTATGTTGCTTTGAGTTTATTTGGGCAGTAGCATGCCTGAACCAAGTTCCTAAAAAGGAAAGTGTTTTTGAAAGCTGCAGCAAAAAGATTATGCAAAGTGGAAGCCATCCAGCTGAGTATCTGTGCTGTCCTTTGCAAAACACTGTTCCACTAAGGAAGTGATTGAAAAAACTATGGAAATGAAGGGAAATTACTTGAAAATTGTCCCTTTCAAGTAGAAAGCCCTCATTTTAGAATGGAGCTTTTGGTTAACGTTATCCAACTAGAATGCCTCAAATTATCTCGTTAAAACCACGCTTGGGCCTCTGTATTTAAGTAGCCTACTTCTCAGAAGTACCAGGCGTCCACTCAGAAGCACTTCTCAGGTTGGCAGGAACTAGAATCACTCACCATCCTTCAAATCAGACCACCTGTACTGAGCTATCTGAATGTAAATGTGATTACTTCAGCCACCAGTTATTAAAAAGTTTGTTCTTTTGGCTAACAGTTAAACTTACAGGTTTGCCCTGGTGCGGGGTTCAGGACGGGAGGAGTGACAGATGTCTCCCTAAGGGATGCAGTCCCTACAAGCCATCTTCCAGCCAAAACGTTACAGTCAACTCTTCGTTTGGTTGGTTGGTTTTTTTGCCCACTTCTGCATTTCTCTCACATCAGAATCAGTCCTCCTCTCGAAACTGCCGTGTCCTTTAATTTGTCCTACTCTCAATTCACACCTCTATTCATAGCTTTGTAAGGTGAAACAGTGTTGGATTCCATTTAACATCCGCTGAAAACTGCACATAATTCTCAGCTAACCATTTTCTACCTCTTTGAGATGAAAATTGCTCATGTGAAGGAGTCTACTCTTAGTTTCCAGAGCTCACCCCTGAGCCCCCACACATTTGAGCAGATACCATGTGTCTGCCAAATTTTTGCCTCATGTAGACGTTTTTCAGTAGATATGTTTGCTGCTTCTTTTCCAGGGTAATTCTCTCTTTTCTCAGGAGGCAGCCAAATTCTCTTTCTTTGAATATTGTAGCTGTCGTTAGCTGATTATTAAGTCTTGTACTGAAGAAATAACTGTGTGTGTAAGCACAGCAAGGAAAGTAAAGCAAAATTACTTCCATAAAATGCATCTCTCAACTCTAGTTTAATGTCAGTGTTTTATAGTGGTACACTGGTGTCTCAGAGCATGAAACTTACTTGTGTTTGGAGTCTTTTTTGTAGTTTGTCTAGTATGTAACAGAAAAGAGGCTGGTTTAGTGGTGTGCGAAGCATCAAAACACCACTTTGTAGTTTAACTGCTTGAAGGACCTCGTTCTTATTAACTGCAGGCAGCGCAGGACAGTCCCGCGGGAAGTGTAACTGCAACTTGTGTTCATTTCAAGGATGTTTTGCATAGTCCAGACTGGGTAGAGGCTCTTGAGTAAAAACGCTTTGGTCCCTAGTAACTCAGGGAGGGACATTTATCAGAAACACAAAATGAAAAGTTCAATTGAAAAATAATGTGTTGATTCAGCCCAGTGCTATTTTTAACTTCTCTATTTAACGAGTGGTTTCTTAAAATGTACTCCTGAGGCCATACAATGTACCTTGATCTTTTCATAGAACTTTTATGAAAGCATATCAAAGGAAGTATCCTGGCTTTTATTGAGGGATATCACAAAGGTTTAGAAGTTATCTAGGGCCAAATTTGGTATCTCCGGATAGCAAGGTTCTAGCCTGGAAAACAACGATTCTGTTCCCAGCTCTCTTAGTGCATGTGACATTGAAATTAAGTCTTACTCAGTTTCCCACTTGTAAGAAGGGACAGTAATGTTCCTCCTTTGTAAAGCTCTTGAGATCCCCTGATAAAACCCTAATTATCTGTTGCTAGCTGTGAATGAGGTCAGGCCCCCAAAACTGTGAATTCTATTGCAAATAAAGTTTGAGGTGGTAAGTACATTGTACAGAAATATATTTTTTTTCTTTCAAACTTGTGTACATTTTACTTCATTACATAGCTTGGTGAGAACTGAAAAATATCTCTAGAGTGATATTTAGAAACTGATCATCAGATAAGATTGAACTCTTTTTGTACAAAATAGTTCATTTAGAGACCACTGCAGTTCATTTATCAGCTTTTATAGTCATTTTTCGGAGACAACATTTAAAAAAGTTGTATGCTGTCATTCCCCTGCATGGTCCAAAGATTGCCTGGTACTGGGAATTATAAATCTTATGGGGGAAAAAGTTGCTTTTGTTTCATAATTGGTAGCTGCTTTGCAATTACAATTAAATTCATTAGTGCCTTAAAGTGCATTTTAAATGATTCACTGCCTGTTGTGACTGAATTCCTTGAGAAGCCTTGTTAAGTAGTTTGCAAATCCCTTAAAATAAGTCAGCAGTGTTACAACTGGAAGATGTTTTTTGAAATGCCTCATAGGAAATTGCTATCTTAAAACTTTAGTTGGGAAATAGCCTTACTAAAAACTTAGCCCACTAGCAAGTAAACAGAGCTAATCTCCTGAATGCTCCTATTTGTGAAACACTGGAATGGAAAACATCCACATATATGTTTTGAAATTATTCATTTGTTTATAACAGTTACTCGCGTTACACAACTGAAACGAACAAACACAGTTAGCAAAGCATCCACGTTTTTTCAGTCTTTCAACGTAATGACCCAGATTTAGTCGATTATGGAAAAAAAAATGAAACCAGCTGTTAAGTATGAGCACAAAGTTAATGAATAATCTAGACTGTGCCTTGTTTTTAATGATGATTTTTATATATTATTTGCAGAAGAAAACTGATCATAGTGTGCATTGACTTAACATATTAAGTGACCGCATGGTTCCAGTAACGCGCTGTAGAATAGTAGTCGTGGGAATGTTACTTTCCGTTGTCCATTGTAATGGAATTTGTGTATCTGCTTTGTCTTCAGCAGCCAAAGTTGCTGTGTACGTCATGCGGTGCGTAGGATAGACTATAACTGAGAAAGAGTATCTGACCTGAACCCAGAGATAACGTCTGAATCGTAGAGAAAACGATAAGGCTATTTTGTATGGTTCAGAGTGTCTAGAATTATATAGAACCAAGCCAGCAGCAACTCTATTCATTCTAATTTCCTAATTGTAAGTGTGTTTATTTTCTTTAGGAATGACTATACCAGAAGAAGATGCTGATGTGGGACAAGGTAGTAAATATTGCCTCGTGGCAATAGGAAGGCTTCAGGTAATGCAAGTGTTTCCTTATATAAGCTACTGTTGAAAGCATCATCAGTGTTGTGTTTTAGCTGTAAAGGATTTGTGCAGAGATCTGTGGTTTTTAACATGCCTCCAAAATAAATGGCCCTGATATCTGTGTACAGCCAATGACTTTTTTAGAACCTGTCAGCAAAGCAAAATGAGAATGTTACGTTGGCGTATATTTGTATTCAACCCAACAACAGTAGCAAAGATGCTCCTGGAACTTGAACATGTACACACATGCCATTCTCTAAGGTGGTGTAGGGCTGGGATGTTCTAGGTAGTGAAAAACCTGGAGGTACAGGTGCTGTAGATGGTAGGTTAAAGTGGCTCCCAAAGACAGTGATATGCTTCCCACTGTTTGCTGTCTTGCACGCTCGCAGTCTCTCTCTCTTTCATTAATCATCTACTTGGAAAACTCTGATTACAGAGGTTATTTTGAAAATGACAAAGATAAAGCAGTCAAGAGGCACTTCACAAATCATAGCTTTATTCTCAATGTGTAATGTACTGCACGTTCAGATGTGATATCAGTGAAGGGAACTGTGGGAATAAAATTTTACCTCCTTTTTGTTACGGTTATTGTAAGTGATAGATTTTCTTCCTTTTCCGTTGCTGATAAGAGTTCTGAGCCAGAGCTAGAGCAGTTGAGGTGAATCTCTTTTATCACCGCAGTGCACAGGCTAATTTTTATCTTCCTGCCCTGGGAATTCAGCCAGTAGTGAAAATCTTGGAGCCTACTGCATGATCTCTTGTTGGCCTGCACTCATTGCCATCTGTTAGGATGGCATCGGTCCTCCTTACAAGGTAGAATGACCCTTTCATTGGAGCACAGGTGTCAAACCAGTTTTGTTTGAGGTGAACAGCCTGCACGTTACTCGAAATGCATGCCATCACTTCTGCAGAGTTTGTCCCCATTGTGGCAGAGCTGCAGGAATATTGCATGATATTTTTTAACTTAATCATACTTTTATATTCAAGAGTAAAACATTTCACTAATGGAGAGAAGGAAGTTGCAGCGATTCAGTTGTTACAGCTGCCAAAAAAGATGGTTTCCCAGAAAATCACGTTAGTAACATGTGGCATGTCAAAACATCTGTTACATAAGAGAAGCCAGCACATGCTATGTCAGGGAGGGCAAGAGGAGGCTCTGGGGTTGGGTTTAATCACAAAGGAGTCAAGGTGCACAAATTAAAAACTGTGCTGTGTAACCGCAAATTGAAATCCTGCGTAGAAGCTATTCTGCTTCAAGGCAAAGACCAAAAAATGAGATTTTGTTCTTTTTGCGTTTATGCCTTGTTGACAGAGATGACCCTGAAGGTGGTAAGAAAAAGGATAGTCTCATTTGTAGCCCCACTAGGAAAGGAGATGAAGTGTCCTGATTACACAGGTTTAGGGTATATAGCTGGAAATGCTTCATTCACTCTGATGAGCTTTGAGGAGCATTAGATAATGATAGATAAAAATGATTAATGATAGATAAAAATGATAGACAGAGCTTCTGATGAGATAATGAGCTGACCTTCTCCAGATAGAAAGACAGCAAGACAGATAATGAGCTGGTCTTTTCCAGAGAGCAGCCTATACATCCTGAGATAGGTCGGTGGACTTGTTCTCTGGAAATCTCTCAGTCTTGGTTGACAAGGGTGGGCACCAAGATGCCCAGCTTTAAGGTGCTTCCACTCTTTGAGGTGAACCCAGCCTTAATTATATCATTGCTGTGTCCTTCCTTTTGGGAACTTCTGGTTGTTCCCAAACTTCCCTGCTATGTTGTTAAGCCTAGGTAAGTATGTCTGTTTTCCTGCTATGTTGTTAAGCCTAGGTAAGTGCCACGAGGGGACATCTTTGCACTGCAGACTGGACTGAAGCCATGCCTGTGTCATATATGTGTGCTGTTGTTTTATTTATGACTTCCTTCAGTAGTTAGTAGTCTGCCAACAGATTTTCTTCTTTAGCTGAATAAGCAAGTTTGACTTACGGCGACTGTTCTGTGAAGTAAATTTTGTGGACTTGATTGTTTGGTCTTAGGTAACGAGCTCTCCAGTATGCATGGACATGAATGGCATGTCGGTCCCAACTGAGTTCTTGTCTAGGCACAACTCTGATGGAGTCATCACCTTCGTTGACCCCAGATGCATCAGTGTCATTGGCTACCAGCCGCAGGTCAGTAAATGGCTGTAATTGCAGAGACTGGTTAGAAATGATGAAAAAATTCTGTTTGCGTATTAAGAGTAAAAGCAGCAAAACATGAAATATTTCTAGCTGAGTATTCATATGTCATGTGCTAAATGCTGTTTACTTTTCTTTACTGTTCTTGCCTCTGTAAAATTTAGAATTTTTCCCTTTGTTATGTGAGAAATCACTTTCTCCCTTTTAAGTACAACTTGAATTCTAACAGCAAGTTGCTTTAAATCTTACACACCTTCCCAGTTAATACATTTCTGTGATAAAAAGTTAACAGCGCTTGGAGAGAGGGTCTTAGATTTTTAACTTCCAACAATTTGTTGAACAGTAAGCAAACAACATTTATAGCATCTGTTTTCCTTTAGGCTTACATCTGCTCCTGTGAATAAAGGCTAGTCATAGAACTGAGTAGAATAGTAGATGAACTCCTGACTACCGCAGCGCTCTCTGATAACTACATTTTGCCTTTTAATCCCAATGATAACTGTTTTCTGGTCTCAACAGTTGCAGTTTACAGTCAAAAATCATTTTATTTCTTAATCGTTTGTTTTTCACATTTATACTGATTTTAGGTAGCTTTATAACAACTATTTTTACAAAAAGTTGTGCTGTGAAATGAGCTTTAATAGAGGATATCGGACTCTTCAAGATACCATTTTTGCAATATTAAAAATTCAATTAAAACCAACTTGTAAATACACATGTCTCTGCAACAGTACAAAACAATGTGGGCCATGATATCTACAAACCTTATTTGTAGGACTTGTCCCTGGTTAAGTGAGTAGTCCCATTGAGGGCGATACACCTAGTGTTTGCAAGGATTACTTGCAGAGCTGCACGTGGATTTTACTGTGATTTGGGTTTTTTACACAGCTTTGTTTTATTTTTCTAGGATCTTTTGGGAAAAGACATTTTAGAATTCTGCCATCCCGAAGATCAAAGCCATTTGAGGGAGAGTTTCCAACAGGTGCTGCAGCCTGCTCCCTTTCTTCCACCATTTATTTATTTCTATGTTGTTTTTTTTGTCCAGGGAAGTAGTTTTTATTTTTCATTTGAAGGTATTTGTTCTGTTATGCATGAGAAGGAGCAGCAAGGTATGAATCAATTTCTGTTAATAAATTAATATCAGTTAAGCTGCGTAAGTGGTAGTTTAAACTACAGCACCTGTTGGCTGTGTTTTCAGAAATATGGCTCACTGCTGAGTTAAGCTGTCTTTTTGTTTTAGAGATACCTGTATAGATCCCACTGGGCTAAGTGGGAACCAAAAGTATTTACCTTCAACAAGATGGGCTGTTGATTTGAAAATAGATACACTCCTCTGTAGTACTGGATGTTTTAAGAGGGGAATATCTGCATATGCAGAGTTTGGCATTCTCAAATTTGCTTAACACTGGACCTTACTGTGTTGTTTTTGAGGTCACTAAGAATTTTACAAGGGGCTTCAGTGAGAACAGGGTTAGCTGAAACTCAGTGAGTTTCAAAATTAAACTCTTAATATAGTTTGTGACCTAAATTCTCTGCTGGTGTAGACAAGTTCCATAAACTCTGGATTTGCACCACTTCACATCAACAGAGATTTTTGGCCCTTTTCCCTACTGGGGTACTGAAATGCAGACAGACGTTACAACAGAAAGGTAAGAACATATGGAAAGTTACTGTTCTGCGTTCATTTTTGCAATGGGCCACCATTACCTCAAGTATATCAAAGGAGTTTAGTCTGTTGTGGAGCTTATTGTTTCAGATTGATCTAGGACTTAGGGTAGGAGTGCTTTCCCCAAGAGTTCTGCTTGTTCCTGGTCTTTTCAGTACCTTCCATTCTGCACTGGAAAGCATGGTATATAGCATGTTTTAAGCAGTTAGTGAAGTTCAGATTTGTTGATCCATCTTGTGTTGGATGTTGAGATTTTCAGCTGTAAACCAGGGGTATGAAGTGAGTTTTAAAATAATTTGTATAGCCAAGTATTTATTCAGGCATAACATGCAAAAGTGGAACTGCAAAAACCTCTCTGAGGAAAACAACTAAATGCTGTGTTCACAGAATAGGTTGTGAAATTAAGGCTATGGTCCCTATGAGAAAGTGTAAGATATCACTGTGATTACTAACCCCACTGCTGAGCTAGCAACAAAGACTTTATGACCACTCTGCGTCTACTGCAGTGGACTCTGTTCAAACAGCAGCTAAAGACCTTTTAAATTTAAGATGTTGATTCACAGGTAGGGACAAACGAATGCTGGATTCCTGAGATAGGTTATGGCACACAGTCATTTTTCCTGCTCCACCTTGTTGGGGATGTGATGGTACAGCTAAACCTACTTGATGGTTAGCTGTCACCAAGAGGGAGGTCCTGTTCCCTTTTTTCTCTCATCCCTGACCTCCTCCCCACCCTTCCTGCTGTCCTGACACTAGCACAGATGGACTTGCCAGGTGAGCTAGCTAAACGCCTAATCACTTTTGTATGGGGCTAGTTTTGAGATGGTTCAGCACCCTGAACTTGCGCCTGACCGCACCAGTGGTGCAAGAAGAGCAGTGAGAACACATATGCTGCTTTTTCACCAATGCCCAAGTGATTGATTCCGCTAATTTATCTGAAAGACAGTGACAGAGAGCTGCTGGATAATAACTTGTCAAATATCCGTCTCTACAGTGATTGTGTGAACACAGCCGGAGGCTCAGAAAGGCTGACTAACTAACATTCAAGTTAATGACTTGATCCTCTCTGTGTTCAGTGGGAACGAGATCAGGCCCGAAGAGGCTGCTGTTGTATCCCTGAAGTCAATTGCTGGGGACTTCCTTGTAACTACTTGATATTAGGCATATGCATAAATGGTGTGCGGGATGATCAGGGACCTACATGATTTTCTCAAGGTCACGCAACAGGACGATGAAAAAAGCGTAGATTAGAAGTGAAGAGTTCCTGTTTGCCTGGACCTGTGTTCAATATGAAAATACTGTGCTGTTCCTTTAGTAGGCAATTCCTTCTTTGTATATTTTTGTTCAGTACAGTAGCAATGTGATTGGGGCTGTTATTTCGATTGTGAAATAAAAGACTGAAGTAAATGGTTTAGCTATGCACCAGGTGGTTTTTATTTCCAGAGAATGTAAAAAAAAGTAGAGGCTAAACATGAGCTTTGAATTTTTTTTTGTGTTATCCTGTTTGTGAGCACTGGTTTACGACAGTTCAGGATTCTCCCACCAGAGATTTCTGTGCTTTATATATTATTACAGAATTAGTGTTTGTTTAATTCATACTTCAAGACAATAGATTATTGCAGTTTGTTTTTATTATCATTAGTTTGGCCTTAGAAATCTTTTCATTAGAAAGGTAACTGTGATTTCCAGTAAGCTCTTTTTTTCTCAGACCCTCTGAAAACTTGACATTTCTATTTTGCTGACAGTATCAGAACCAGATTGGTGTATAACAGGGGAGGGAGGGAGTATTTTTGCAGTTTTTGGTCAATTGCCAGCATCCATCTCGAAGCTTTTACTTCCTTGGGAAGAAAAATTCATTCATCAGGCAGGGTGGGAAAATCAAGCCAGAATGAGATATTCTCAAGGCCAAGATCAACAAATAGAGTTTGATATCAAAGGTTCCAGAAAACAGCTATCTGATATCCAGTAGGATGCTGTTCAGATTGGACACTTCTGCACAAGTTCTGTAGTCTTTTCCCTGGGTGTGGTGGTAGAAAATTGCTGATAATAGAATGTGGCTCACTGAACTCAAACTGCAAATGCACTTATTTAAAAAAAGACATTTACCTCAGAATTATATTTTCTGGGCATTACTGAAAATTTTGTGTCTCCTCTTTACATTCTTTCTGTTTAATCCTGTATCCAGTTGATCAGTCTGAAATGCAGCCCTTGCGGGGGCGGGGAGGAGGATTGGAGCACATCTCCAAACCCAATTACTTGTTAATAAAGACACAGGGTAAATACAGGGTTTCTGCTAAGGTAACTACTTTTAAGAAAAACAGACTGTAGATAGCTAATAAAAAAGAAATTCCTGCGGTTAAGGATTAAGACTCTACAATGAGATGAGGCATCTGTTTGCAGTAGACCTTCCCCTTGCTTCCCTGAGGCACCCAAAGACAGCTTGGTGGAAAAGCAGGAAAAAAAAAGTCAATACAAATAGCCCAGGTAAGGGCCAGCTGAATGACTTTAAACCTTATAAATTTTCTCCTGACCTAAACTAAGATTCTTAGATAACACATGCAATGCAGTTGCAGTGCCAGTGTGAAAATATTTATTTGAGCATGCTTCTTTGGTTGGCTCCTGCTTAAATTCATCCATGCTTGTTGCATAAAGGGTATAGATCCAGATCTCAAAGTTTGGAGTAGGCCCGTGTATTTCCCGAGTTCCTGGGGCCCAAGGACTGTCTGTTCCGTTTGAGACAGCTCATGGTTACATTGTCTTTGTTGCCATCTAAGCCTTAATTTTGCCCATGGTAGTGACAGTCTGGTGTCTGGTGGTGCAGTCTCTCACTTGATTCCCAACTGTTGTCTTCAGTGAAACTGTGGCTACCAAAGACGGAATTGGAACTAGGTATTACCAGACATCTGAATTCTGATTTAGCTGTAAACAAATAGGCCTCCAAGTAAAAAATTCTCACTCCATTTTGACTAACGCTATTAAAACGGACATTAGCTTATTGATGCTGTCTCCATTCACACCCTGGCTCATTCCTCCTCCTTATGAAAGTTAGAAGCATTTCTTGTCAGCGCTCTACCATCCTAGAGCCTTTTGGGTAGGCTCACAGATATTCTTTCACCTGATTTATTGTGTGGCCTGTCTATTTTTAATGCAGAGATGCTAGGTTTCCTCAATAACTCTTTCCTTGGGATGCATAAGCTCTGCCTAGCTTTGTGAAATTGCTGAAACTGTTCTGAAGTGGATATTCTTATACGTTTTTCAGCTTCAACTTAGTTCTTAGAAATGGGATGTTTTAACTTTGGCAGGTATTGCACATGCAATCTTCAGGGCTCATTTCAGCAAAGCACTGCAGCCTGTACCTAACCATAAGCATGTGGTAGATTCATTTATATTCAATTATGCCCTTAAGAGCTGTTTAATTTAAGCACATGTGTAATTCTCCTTAGACTGGAAGCTTAGCACACTGCTAAGTATTTGCTGAATCTGAAACAAAGCACCTGTGACTTTTTCTCGTCTACAATTATCTCTTTACGTATCTTGTTTCCATCCAACATAATTGCTGGCTTGTGTGTATTCTTAGTGTGTATTCTTACTTCATCCCTACAAGATCTTGTTGGGTTTATGCCACACTGAAAAACTCATCCACACATCAGAGACAGACCATGGGGCTGTCCATTTCTTTTTCTACTGTTTGTCCCTCCCATTAGTTATTGTCTAATGAATCCATCTTTCCCATTTTTACTTATATCCTTACTCTTCTTCTTTCATCCCTTTAATGATTTCCTTTCTCTGTTTTTTTTTTTCTTCTGGTTTCTCACTCAAATGTTTTCTTAAAAAATGTAGTCAAGTTCTTCTTTATCCCTTCTTCCATCTTTGTGTATGGTATCTTGGGCAGTTTAAACCCTGCTTTTGGTTTCTGTGCCCAAGTCTTGTGTTGTTTTGCTCCTCCCCTCCCACCCCTAGTAATGGCCTCGCTGCTTGCAGGGGGCTGAGGGGGCCTCCGTATCACATCACTGTATAAATATGTATTGTGTATGATAATTATTTTTCTCTTTGAGCTTGTTTATGGCACCAGTGTTTGGGTTCCGTCTCTTGGTATTCCCTCAGACCTCTGAACTGTTCTTGGGATACTTGTTATCTGTTATAGGGCAATATAGTACAGCCGGTTATACTGTGTGCTACCTGTTCATTTGTTGGGAAAAATAAAAGTATAAGAGGACTTTGGACAGGACAGGTTGTTACAACGAAACAGGTGCACGAGGGTGATGTTTTAAAGCATTTAGTCTAATTAGAAAGAGCCAGTGAAAGAGTTACAAGGGAGCCGATGCTCAGCAGAGCTCTAGCTAGGTATGAGACCGAGGCACTGAGCAGGGATTTCTGGAAATGACTTAAAAATTTGATAGACTTTATTGGATAGTCTGCCTTAAAAATAGCCCATGGGCTGTGTGATCTGTGTCCCCTGAAGTTCCCATAGTGCATCTTTTCTTCAAGGACAGAGGTTATAACTTCCTCCAAAGTGGGGATATGAGCAGATGCTTTTTAAGAGAGTGCATTTCTGAGTGACTCTGAGTTAGTGGGGTGGTGCTTGAGAAGAGAAACTGTGTTAGGATGTGACATCAGCTCGCCAGGGTCCTACTGCTACCTCTTATTATGAAAGCAGAAGAGACTTGCAGTTCAGAAGATGGGCTGATGCATCGTGGCTGTCCCGGCAACAAAAAGCACAGCCACCCTGAGCAGCGCTTTGAAGCCTTTCATCTTGGAGTGATTCTGTCTTTGAGCAGCATTCAAGAGAGATGACTCATGAGTTCTTCCAAATCATGCTGAGAGAGTTGAAAGGGCCCCAAGCTGTCTTCCCCAGCCCTCTGACAGACCTTACTGTCCTGTGAACAAAGGACTGAGCTGGCAGAAGTATCTCATCAGCTACCACTGAATTAATATCCAGAGCCCACCATTATTTTCCAGTCACGTTACTAAGCTGGTCCAAAAATTGTGGTGACTGAGCACTTCTGTTGGATTTGCCTGGAAGGGCTGCCACAGCCTGTGGAGAGAAGAAGTTGCAGAGATAAATCCAGCAGGGGCATATAAATCAGAATCCCCAAGGATGCAGGCACGCTTTAGCTGCAGGGATGTGGGACGAGCACCTCTAGGCAATTGATAGGCAACATTCAGAGTGTTTCAGGAACCACGTATTAGTCACCTGAAGACAGATTTTGGCACTAGCATAAAGACTGTCAGACTTCTAGCAGCTCTGGGGAAAAAAAAACAGCCAGGTATGGTTTCTTAAAAAAAAAAAAAAATCACTTAAATATCATTAGAATCAAAGTTTAGGATGATATTTAATGTATGATTTGGGATGTCACATATATGAATTGTACAGCTAGGTATCCAAGAAAAAGAGGAGATAGGTGACCTCATAAAATGTTTGTTGTTGTAGACTTTTGTTTCAGGTGCTGCAAAGTTTGGTTTATGATTTACATATAAATATTTAAAAGATTCCTCAGTTTGGTTTCTGTCAATCTCTTCTGATAAACATTCCACGCTAAAACCTTAAAGCTTCCCTGCTGGGATAGCAGCACAAGCTGTTGTTCCCTGAGCCTGTATTCTTCTTATATGCAAATTGGAAGAGGAGATTTTGTACAACAAAGTGTGAAGATTTAATTCTGAAGGAGATAACTGCAAACATAAAAAGAATTTTGTTTATTCTCATTGTATTAACAATATCTCTACTGCTACCATATCTTTCTGCAATGTAAGCCTAAAACATACCAGTTATGTTGTTTGCTGTTCATTTGCACTCTGCTGTTAGTAACCTTTCCAAACGGTTTTACAGGTTGTGAAACTGAAAGGTCAAGTCCTGTCTGTGATGTATCGTTTTCGTACCAAAAACCGGGAATGGATGTTGATCAGAACCAGCAGCTTCACATTTCAGAATCCTTATTCCGATGAAATTGAATACATCATCTGCACCAACACTAACGTAAAGTATGTGCCTTTCCAGATGCTCATGTACACGGTGTTGAAAGAATAAAAGCGTTGCTTTTTGTTGTAACCAGTGTAAATGCACGTTCAGATTTTTGCGGTAGCCTGTTTCCAGTTGCGTTTTTTCCTCTGTAACGGTAAGAGTCTGGAGCAGAAGTTTCCTGCATCAGAGGTACTTGCAGCTAAAGCTGTTTCTCTGTCATTACCTTGTGCTTCCAGGGCCTGGCTGCACCCGGAGATAAACATCAGTTACCTGTTATGTCATTAGACAAGCCCATTGATCTCAGTCCAGGCTGCGTTAACTAGCGCTGGGCTTCCAGCAGCAGAGCAGCTGTCACGATATTGGAGAAAGGTTAGCCTGATTCCTAAGCCAAAGAGAAAATTGCAGGTCTTGTGTTAACAAGTATCACGTGTGTAGGCAAGAGTCCTGCTTCTTGTGCACTGTGATCATAGTGTGTCATAGTCCTGGTTGTCTTCTCCTTGAGCTAAGTCCACTCTTACAGCATATAAAAGCTGGCAAAAGTGATTTCCTGGTGAGCTTAAGGGGAAGGGCTTCTAATACTCAGTTAAGATCTGATGGACCGTCCCCATGTCTGGGGACAAATCCAACCTCGTGTTAAGAGGAGAATTAAATCATCTTGTCTTTGAATAATACTTTAAAAAACTATGTCATTAAACCTGTTAGAAGGAGGTTAAAAGAGTGGGTGTTTAGTTCTGCAACTCATGGAACTGCTTCTAAAAGAAAAGTCACCCTAGCAATATAGTGGACCTTTGTCACTGCATAACTGAGTAGAGAAACTTTTGGTGCCTTCTGAATTCTGAGCCAGCAGCTGCAGAAGCTAATCTGGATTTGATAAAAACCATTGCTTTTTAGATTTTTTAAAAAATATTTCTTCTTTCTAATGTAAACTTAAATCTATTTCTAAAACAAAATCTGCTTTTGGTCTGACCAGAGGGCTTTTTGCCAAGTTTTTAACACGGAGGAAATTATTGGATTTAAGGTCTCAACCTGTTAGACTGTCTAATGGAAATGCTGAATGAGCAGTCTACTAGTGGAGATGCACACTTGCAAAACCAAACCCCTGGGGCTTTGGCATTTGAACTTAGAAAGCTAGTGAGTGTCTCTCTTTAGGAGCAAGCTAGGCAACAGTAAAGCTATTTGGACGTGGCACGTACCTGGGCTGGAAGGGCCTTTCTTTTAGTGATTTGAAACCCAGCATAACATCCAGTTTGCTCCTTTTTCCCTGCATACCCTAAAAATTGGGCTTTAATAACTGAATAGTTCAGTTCCTTGAAACAAGCAAATGTGTCTTGAAATCAGGCACCCTATTATCTCCCTGTCCAAAGAGATTTGCACGTTTCTGCTGTCCTACATTTCTTTTCATAATAATTTGGTAATGCAAAAACAGGCCTGCAAAATAAGAGACAACTGCTGAAATCTATCCCACGCTGGTTTAATTGTGCTTGATTCCCAGGAGTCCACAGGTCAAAAAGTTTGATCTGTAGACTTGATTGTGTTGACTCTGGGAATGCCTTTTTTTTCAAGACTCAACTATACTGTTCAGCTTGGCATTGCAGCGCTTACTGTAATAAATAGGCTAGTGCCAACTTCTGGCTCTTATTATAGCTGTCTTAGTAGGTTTGAATAACAACCCAGAAATATTGACCTAATATGGAAGTTGCCTGCTGCTACTTTGACAGAGGATGTTCCTTCCTTTCTGTCATGTTCAAAATGTTCTAGCCTTTATGGCAAGATATAAACCATTATATGTTTGTTTTTAAATAGCAGAAAGAATGCATTATTCAAACTTTTTTCTTTTTTTCCCCTGTTCTCTCCCACTTTTCAAACAGATATCCAGAGAGGATTCCCTGTAATGCAGGGCTACTCCTGTCTGTTTCTGGATTTTTTGGGGTCAGGTTCAAAATTCAGATTTCCTAGATGTCCTGGGGAGGTGTACATCCTGGTAGCTGTGGATTTCTGCCTCCTCATTCAGCTCCTGCTGGGGCTGGTTATTCAGTGTCGACCCCAGTGTGCGGGGCCATCTCGATGTGTCAGTGGGTGTCAGACGCCGTGGATCCAGCAAAGTGCTTTGCCTGCAGACCAAGCAAGGGTGTCTTCTGTTGTGAATTTGAAGGCAGTTTTGCATAGAGGCAAATTTTGATTTGCCTATAACTTTGCGAATGTATCCAGGCCCATAAAACACAGCTTTGAGGCAGTTAGAAATTCAGCATGAATTTTAAAGAAGGGGTATGTGATAAATCTATGCTTAAATCTGAATAGTTTAAAGCCACATTGTGCACATCTGCGTGTCTGCTTGTTAAGGGGAAAGTTCTCAAATTTTGCGTTGGTCAGTGAAGAAAGTTTTTGAAAAAGACTGTAGAGGGCAGTGGTGGTTCCAGTTGGGAGAGTTAATTGAGGGGTTTTTTTTTTTTTTTTTTGGATATTCCTTTGGAGCTTCAAACGGTCAACTCTCCAGATTTGTCTTTGGAAGGATAATGAAATGTTAGGTTCAAACGTTCACGTAGTTCCTTGTAAAAAAAAAAAAAAAAAAAGAAAAGAAAACTTCTCGCAGTTTCTCTTGGGTGCAGTTATCCAAGAGAAACTTCCTGGAGAAATGAAGCATTTAATGTTTAGCATTTGTGCTGTGTTCTGGTGAAAAGAAGAGTCCCCAGTTAAACCGCGTCTTCCTGTTTAATTGGGGCTGTTTGATTTCCAAAAAAAAATAATTGTTATTAACGTTTGTATAAGAAACACAAAAAGCAGCATTTGAATAAATGGCTGCCGGATGAATTAGCCCGCGCTTGTGGCAGAGATGCTTTCTCTTTCTGATTCTCAAGGGCCAGAATACCAGTGATCAGCTATTCTGATAAAATTCCGTTCTGTGGTAGTGAGATTACTTTCTCATGATCCCTGTGCCATCTGTGGGCAGTCTGACCTCTCAAGGCCAATGTAAGACGCACCATTTCACAGTGGTGACTTTGAAACCATAATCTAAAAGAGAGAAATTTTAAGAGTTACTGAAACAGAACTTTAAAAGCCTTGTTGCTACCACTGTATTAGTCCCTTTTTGTCCAAAATAGATACAAAAAGTATGTGTGCCAATATTAAATAAGAAGGGCTTGATAAGGATGCAGTATTGTTTCTTTCCCACCAAAGAGTCTGTTGAAGTTTTAATTCTTATTTGGTTACTTTGATGCCTGGAAAAGGAACAGGTGACTTCAGTGTTTAGACAGAGAGAGAGAATTCAGCTAAAATACTCTCCAGAGTCAAAAGAAAAAAAGAGGCAGTATCTTCCCTTCTCCTCCAAATACATTTACTTAAATAAATTTGAATTAACTATTGAAACCTGCTGCTTCAGTGAGCATTCCTTGTTCAAGCCAAGGGGTTTCCCTCTGAACCCCCGAGTGAGCCAGAAACTCCTGCAGAAGGCGCAGAATCCTGTGTTGAGGCAGGTGATGCTTTCTTTACTGTGTTGGGTATCATGTGTAGAGCCTGGAAGTTTCTCTTTCTTTTATTCCTTTAACCTGTGAAATCAAAACCAAAACCAGGGATGACTTGGGTTTTGGTTTGAAAGTCAGAAGGCAGTTTGAGTTTTGCCCGGACTGATGATAAGCGCTTGTTTCGTACCATCTTTACAAAAATGATCTAGAAATTGAATGATTGAAGGGATCTGTGTGTATTGTTTGGTCAGAAGGGCTGGTTAGATGGCAGTATCAGAAGTGACCACAGCAGCAGTGTTTGGCTCTCCCTGGTCAGCTGTGCCCTGAATTGTTGCGTGGTCGAAGCATCGTTTGGATCGTTTATGCAGTAGCAGCGATCGAGAGCAGAAAATGCTAACCTGGTTTTCCATGTCAATCTGAATCAAGTGCAGCATAGCTTACATAACATTTAGTGAAAATATGCTGAAGTATTTGTTTTTCATAAGAAGCGGATTTGGTAGGTTGCTCCGTAAGTTCAGTGCTGTTGACACAATGTGATATTCATGTTGTATTGTAGCTTAACGAGTACTACAGATGACGGAGAAGGGTGAAGGAGCACTAAGAGAAGTGCCTACAAAACAAATAACTGATAAGTATGCTGTTTTGTTTGGCTCATTTGTATGTATATGCCTGAATCAAGAAAACATACTTTATACGGAACAGAAGAGACCTAATGTGCTGTTTATTGACACACGCACCAAGTCATTGGTAGTAAAAACAAGTGAAACAGTGTAATTAGCTTTCACGTTAACAACAGGATTTAATGGGTGTTTATTGTCCACAGGGTGGTATTTAGGAAAACTTCCCCTTAGATTTGCTGTGATTAAATTACCTCCCATAGTTCTGGTGGAAAAGTAAGCATTTTATGCTTGCAAAACAAAGAACTGCTTTACGTTCCAGAGGTAATTTTTAGGAATTTTTCTATTGGTTAAAATAATACGGAAAATCCATGGCTCTTCACTGACCTCGAGGATTAAGTTTTTTTGTGTTTTACTCACAGTGCAAAAGTGATTCTTTGTATTATATGTTCTTACATAGTGAGGTTTGCAGAAGGTCTTTGGCTGTCTACTCTGAGCCTGTGTGTGTGTTGCAGGTCACAGAATTTAGTCCGGTTTGCCATGGAGCCTAATAAAAAGTGACTGAGTAAAGTGTCTTCTAGAAAAGCACCAAGTCTTGGTTGAAAGGCATCAAGGGATGGAAAAATCTATTAATTACTTTAGTAGCTTGTTCTAGTCATCCCTCACCTTCGTACGAGCTTGTGCCTAATTTGTCATTTGAGTTTGTTTGGAAGTTTTTCTCTCAAGTCACTCGTGATCTGAATTCATCTAGTTCAAAATGTAAAGGGAGATTTTGATAAAAAGCTACAACTTAAGCTAGTGACCAAAAATATATCCTGATTTTCCGGAGTCTTGGAATCCACAATCCTTGCATTTTGGAACATCTCTTCTAGTATTACCACCTGTCATACTATAATATCTCTTTCAGGGAAAAACTCTTGTGGTGTGTAATTCCTGTCTTTCAGCTGACTTTTTCCTTCAGAGAGAGGCCAGAAGCATACAGAAACTGTGACAGCTTGTCACATCTTATTTGCAGACAGTGTACTTTCTTGTCAGTCCAGCAGTTTTATGTATCTTCGTTGGTAACTGAGCAGAGAGCATCATACAGGTAGTTTGCTGCCTGCACATCCTCAGGCCAAAAGTCATCTTGCTAATATTGACCAGGTGACAGAAAGCAGCAGTTAGTGGAAGATGCAAAACATTTTGATGATTTCTCTGCAGAAGCAGGTGTTATCTGCAGCACTTGAGACAAAATATTCTTGTTGCACTTCTGTGAAGCTAAAAGCTTAAACTGAAATGCTGTGCAGTGACTCAGGTCTTCCTCAGGCCAAACCCAAACAGCTTTTTTGAAGGAGTTTTCCTGTACTTTCGGAGGTGTGCCCAGAAATCAGCCGTCTCTCCTATATTATTTCTCATTTATAGAGAGCATTTAGGTGAGCTGCTGGGAATAGGCTTGAAGGATAGCAGCGTGCTCGGTTCTCCTTTTCCTTCTTGTAAACAGGAGTCTCTACTGATCTTCCCCGTGGCCAGTAATTAGATGAATAATAACCTTCTCCAGTGGCATCCCTCCACTGCCCCCCTCTGCCTTGACTCAGCAGAGAAGCTGCTCAGATTTTTTTTGCTATTGCACAGCCTGGCTTTCTTGAGACTCTGCAATGGCAGCAGGTGCCCAGCTAGCTTAAAAAACAAATCCGTCTCTTTCTACCAGCAAATAGCACCCAAAATACTGTGCACTATTGAGATGGACCCAGTTGATGCCTTGATGATTTGTGTATTTTAATTTTTGCCCTCATTGTTTGAAATGAAGTTGCTCAGTTTCAGAGCAGCTCCGAGAAGTGTGAGATGGAGGAGTCCATCTGCCTGGCAGCCGAGCTCCTCCCTGTGCTTCGTCCTAGAGACTGGTTCAGCGCCCATTAAGGTATTGGCCTCTGCCGCTCCGTGGCAGTGATGCCTCTTCACACGAGGGCCATGGAGGAGCCTTTCCTTTTCACAGGGAAACATCAGCTTATTGTGCCTGCGTATGCTGACCCGCTGGCGGCAAGCTGCTTCCAACCCGAAGCTGTGAGGTTGTGGGGGGTGCTGTGCCCCAGCCACGCCAGCCTCTTACTTGGTCAGGCTGGAGCCTGGGCTCAACTTGAACCCTGCGCTGGGCTAACGCGACGGTGTGGCTCTTGCACTCTGCTGTCACAGCTCAGAATAGGGTTTGTCTGTCTGCAAAAGATCAGGTAGACGTATGCTTGGACAAGTGGGGTTTCTGATGACCCAACTTGTGGATGGTACAAGTCCAAACAACAAAGCATAGGTTCATATTTTAAGGGGCAAATTCTGGTCTTAGTGCAGAGTTAGCAGTTTTGCTTTTCATTTCAAAAGGATTGGTTTTTATTCCTGATAAACTTTACTGTGCAGTGACATTTTGTGTTGAAGTTGTTTAGTTACAGTGACTTCAAAATTTCCAATAGCTATAACTGTCTCTGATTCAAAAAAAAAATAGGAGCTTTGAGTTTGTATCTTTTTAGAATTAAAAAAGCAAGTGAAGAAATCGATGCATAAAATCACTGTGCTAGATATGTTACAACTGTATAAAATATCGGTATGTTTTTATAAACACAGTCAATATCTGTAAGTGTAGAAAGTTAATATGCCTAGTTAAGCACCACTTGCATGCCATCCCTACAAGTCTTTATCCATAAGAAATGTCGTCTGCCAGTTATTTCTCACAACTTGCAATGATTTTATCTGTTGGTATTTGGCTAGTTGTTGTAGTAAAGGAACAGTGCCTGACACTAAACACGAATCAAGTCTGTTTCAGGGATCCTCAAAGTTTTCAACACTGAAGTTCTTCGTTCTGGCAGACTTCCCCTAAAGTTTATTGCTTCTTTCAGTGTCCTTTGAAGTATTTTTCTATTTCTGCTGCACATTTAATTTTGCCTAAGTTCTTATAATTGGATTAAGGCTGTTACTTCCAGTGATTATTATCTCATTTAAAGAACTGGGGTTTTTTTAGTCCTTATCAACATGAAAAGGAGACTTGTGTTTTCTGTAGCGTTTGTCAGCACAAATTGATTCTATGTAATGTCTTGATTTTATGTAGTGGTACGAGCAATTTATTTCTTGAGATTCACTGCATTAAAAGCTTTCAGAAATTAAATAGAATCTGGACTTTGATCCTGGGGAGAGTGAGCCAAATCATGTTATTACACAGAAGGACTTACACGTAGCGCTTTCTCCTTTTCTTCTCCCGTTGCCTTTTAGCTCAACAGGTTGCTCCATTTAATCTGGCATGCTTCACACAGAGCTTTGATCAATTTTTCTTGTTGATTGGCATAATTCTGCATTAATATTACTGGGAGTTTTCCTATTTACTTCAGTAGGATCAGGGAAAGTGCCTGACATATTCATCTTTAATGTGCAGAAGATTTTGTTGGCATCTTAACAGCGAATCCTTAAATCCTTTCTGAGGATGTTGTATGCCATCCTCCATTACTTAACCACCCACATTTCTGTGCTATTACAGAAAAACTTCATGGACCCTGTTACATTCCTGTGTTGTAAGCTTTCTCAGTTAGAAATCTTTAAAAACAGATGAATCTCACAAGAAAGGGCTTACTAAATCATATGACGGACATTTCACTTGGAATATAAAAGAGAAGAATACGGCTGTTCCTTTTTGTATCTTAACTGGTTTTTGTAACTGAAGTAATTTTCTCTCTTTTGCAGACAACTTCAGCAGCAGCAAGCAGAGCTTGAAGTACATCAAAGAGATGGGCTGTCGTCCTATGACTTATCTCAGGTGAAATTTCTCAATAGTTCTTTATCTTTGTGCCTCTGATCTTTTAAAATGCAAAGCGATGGCAGATCTTGGCAGAATTAAAAATACATTGTGATTATCCCTGAACTCCTTTTTGTCAAATATGATGGAGGGTATTGCCTTCCTTTGCGTATCTCAACAGGTGCCTGTTCCGAGTATACCAGCTAATGTTCATGAGGGTGGAAAGTCTGTGGAAAAGCCAGATGCTATCTTCTCCCAAGAGAGAGATCCTAGATTTGCTGAGATGTTTGCTGGAATAGCTGCTTGTAAGTGAATGTCTCTGCTATTGAATTTTTATTATTATGCTAAGCATGGTTACATGATATGGAGCACAGCTTCAAGGGAATGAAAAGAAGCTACTATGTGGCAGAGAAACTTCCAAGTAAAGTCAATCTTCAGGACAGTTTCCTAGAATTTGTCTTTAGTTGATATTTCCCTCAAAGGTGATGAAGAACAAAACTCCAGGAGTGAAGGACTGCTGTGCTGTCACTGGAGTTGTTTGGTTTTGGTTCTCTTTTCATTTCACAAGAGCAGCTTAAGCAGTGCAACTCATAGGCAGTAAACCAACTGCAGCTTCTAAATATATATATTTTTTCTTAAACAGCAGATGTCAGTTCATCTCACTAAGTAGACATGGATTAAGAAAGCTGCTAAGAAGTCTTAAGATGGCCTACAGTTTTTTCTTAAATAACCTCCTTTTGCATTGAAGTTTTCAGATGCATATGCTGCTTTGAAGTGTACTAATATCCTTGTTTCCTAGGGAGATGAGACATCTCCAGTTGTTCCGTCTCTCCATCTCTCTGAGAGTCCCAAATTTTTTTTCCCTACCGATTTTCAACCTGTTGACAAATATTTATAGGAGTGATAGGAGTCTCAGTAAGGTCTTATACATTTCATGGAAATTACTGTAAGGGTAGAGAGTCCTCACTGAGTGTCCTCACCAAAGGATTTCTCAGCCCTTTTCCAAGAGGTAGCGGTAAATTTAAGGCAGTCAAATAGATGCATCCTCAAGCTAGCCCCAGCTTAGCTGCCTCTTGCCTGAACAGACAGGAATCATTGAGAAAACTGGCAGCTGAATGGATCATCCAAAATATATCTGTAGGAAACCAGGCTCATGGAAGAACTTGTTAATTGTTTATTGTTCTTAACCTTCCTCACTGAAAAAGAAAAGTTTTTACATTTGTTTTAAATAAATCAATGCTCAAGTGTCACACAGCGCATGAAGGAAATGACCCACAGGGTTTGAGTCCAGGGGTGTTGGGAAATGACCTCACTGCATTGGTTTCTTATGCCTGACTTGACCTTTTCAAATGGAGAAGGCAGTGTAGCTGCAGGAGAGACTTGATATTCTGTCCTCCTGTTGCTGGGACCTTTGTTATTCCTGTTCATCCTTGTCTGTCTACTCTAACAGTGAAGTCAACAGCTGAGGCCGTAAGAGGGGTCTATTAGAAGGTAGCAAGATCCAGCCCTAAACACCAGAATATGTTTTTCCAAGCAAGAACATCTTGCTTTTTGGCTGCCTTACTGGCTCATTTTCAGGCAGCTCTGAACTGTTTGTGGGGATGGGTTAGGGTTAAGGGTCTAGCAAGCTGTGAGGTAGCAGTGAGGTTATGTTCTTGGAAATGCCATTATTCTTTTCAGTCTTATCAATTTACAGGCTGTGCTTTTTTTGGGACATTCACCCTGCCTGAATTTCTCATGAGAGCTGTGATCAAGGTCTTCTCTGAATGATAAAAAAGGATGGTTCTCAGTTAGAGGGGAGATAAGCTGTCCAAAACCAATATTGACAAACCTGCATGCTGCCCGCAAGACATTTGCATTATGTTGATACCAGATCCAATTCCTGGCTACATTTTATTTAAAAAAAAAAAAGAAAAGAAAAGAAAAAAAAAAAAGGAACTGACAAATACAGATTTGACACAGGGAGATTGACGCCATAATCACATGCAGTGGCCACGCATAATTAGGCAAAGAAAGAGGGGAGAGGAAGTCTGGCTTCACCCATTCATGCAAGGATGATGCAGTTCCTGAGAACAGCTTCATTTTCCAGGTAGAAACTCTCTCCCTAATGAGGGAAGAATACCAGTTAAATGGGCTGCAGTACAGTGAAAGGGTTTAGCGAGAAAACGGACTAAGGATCCTGGTAAAACACCAAAACAAAATAGGTTTTCAGTGCTGTAGCAAAGGTGAGAGTAAAGAGGTGGAGTGTGTAATCCTAAGTAGGAATACAGCTGGGAGAGATGTGAGCCAGATTCAGAGATGTGGCTAAGGAGCATTTGATGCAACTAAATCAAGAGATCTTGGGGCCGATTTATCTGCTCGTGATTAGTTTAGCAGTGCCGTTTCTCTTAGCCTCATCTTGGAGCACGGACCATGGCAGCTCTGATCCACTTGAAGAGTTCCAGTTCATTTAGGGCAGTCTCATCGTTGCTAGTAGGTCATTCTCAAATATGTAAAGCACCTGCAGGATTTTGGCTCACTCTCTTCGAACCCTGAGAGCTTGGTATCCCACTAAAGGATGGCCTTGGAAAGGGGGAGACCTCATGCAAGAAATACGTTATTGCAAAAACTCAAAATCACTTATCCTTCCTCTTGAAGATATGCTAATCCTAACCCATTCTCAACTCTTCCTTCCTACCGTATCCATTCTCCTAGCTCTTGTCCCTGTTTCTTCCCCTTCTTTTTACATGACAGTCATGTTCACAGCTCAGACTTGATCTCTGTGCTGGGCAGTATTTAGCCAGTTAGGAATTGAATGCCGATATTGCAAAGGAAAAGAAAGGACAGCTTGCATGAGCGGCATACGTGCTCCTTCTCTCAGGCTCGTGAAGTAATTTGAGATGTCTTTTTCCTTTGGGAAGGAGAACTTGGATTGATTCTTACTAAGAACATAACATAGTAAGAACTTAGATACAGATAACAGAGAAGAGCTGGTGTGTGTTGGAGGCCTTTTAGGGGCCAGGCTCAGTGGGTCTTTAAAAGCTCAGGACCTCAAGCAGAGTCTTGCATTACTTGTGAGTAATGCAAGTGAGTTGAGTGGGGCTTGCACCCTTGCTTATGAAAAGCAGTAGGAAGTTGAAAAGAGCAAAGGGGAAAATGTTGCAGGCTTGATTTGGTTGGTTGGTTGGTTTTTGGCCTGTCGGAAGGGCATAGCAACAGACAGTTATGAAGTGATCGGCAAGTTGTGGAGAGTTTTGCGCTTGGAGGAAGTAGTAAGGGAAGATGGGGAAAACGATGGAGGGATGGTGGAGGAAAAGCTTTAGACTGTTCTAAGAAAAGAGGTAATAGAAGTGAGGGCTTCCCTTGGCTTCAGAATAGTCCAGTGTCAGAATCTTACATTAAAGGACTGGATGGCATTTTTCACCCAGGTTCGTTTCATTCAATTAGAGATCAGTCTACGGTGTTTTTGTTGCCACATAAGACTAGATCATAAAAGTTAATGGCATCTTCTTGTGTGTGTTATTCACTGTTAGTCTGTCTTCCACCCACCCCCCTGGGATGCATGCATCCTATTTCATGGCTCCCTCAAGCATTAGATTTTATAGGACACCAAAGACCAAAAGAGACTGATATGTTACTTTGCTGCAGATGGTGCGCATAAACAAGTCTTGCAAATACAAGTCTTGCAAGAAAGATCTTCTTTCTTGGAAGAAAAGTGCCTCCAGCCTCCTGTGAGATAGCAGTGCAGTCAGAGGCTGCAGGATCGCCCAGGTTTGCTGGTGGTCACCCTGATTTGCAGGCATACCACCAGACTGCCCAGGAGAATCGGGTGCTCTGCTCCTGCTGTCCTGGAGGGAAGGAGACTGTCAGCTAGTTAAGACAGGGGCTCTTTGATAGCGTTCTTGTGGCGCGCTTAATCTAGCGCGGTCTGGGCTCTTAGTTGCTATCTCAGTACAAACAGACTGCAGTAACAGCAGCAGCACTGAAGTGCTTCTCCTGGTGCCAGAAATGTACTCTTCTCTGAGGCTGTTCTCAAGTAGGCCACACAGGTTTACACTCATCAGACCTTCTTCAGGCCAGGCTCATTTCATATGGCCTCTTCCATTTTCCCTGGCAGACTCTTCCATCTTTATTCCAGAAAAACTACATTCCCCTTTCCAGTCTATTGCTAAGACTTATGCGCCCATCATGCCACCTGTCATCCGGAGACACTCTTTGTGTCCCATTCCCCCTCCTGCTTACGTGAGCTGGAGCAGCTTCCAGTGAGGACACAAAAGCAAACTGTCTCAAGGTGGCATTTAATCCTTTGATGTAGCTTTGTTGTCGGTGTTTGGATTGAGTGGCCCAGAGGACGCATACCCGTATTATTTTCCGTGCAAACAGTAGCATTAATTAAGTACGTTATGGGAAGGGAGTATGAAAAAGACACAAAACAGCTGTGAATCTAGTTAATGTACTTGATTGTCATATAGCCCTTTTGTGTTACTCTTAATGTATTCCGTAGGGGTATTTCATAAATGTTTAAGAAGTGAAGAACAATCCCTGCTGTGTATGTACGTTGCAATTTCCATCGAGTAATTTTGCCTTCGTTTTATCACCCTTAAATTTTTTCTTTTTGTGATTTGTTTCTCTTCTGTAGCAGATAAAAAAATGATGGCTTCAGCATCCACAGCGGGAAACCAGCAGCTTTATTCACAAGGAAGCCCATTTCAGCCAGGACATTCAGGAAAAACTTTCAGGTACTGCAGTCCAGATCCTGGAAGTATCAGCTTCTGAAAGTGGGGACAGCTCCACTTTGGTTTGGTAGAAAAAAAAGACAGACCTGAGGCTATAGGGCTTTCTTTACAACGTGAATGACTCTTTCTCTCTGTATACTTAACTCCTACCTGACGTTTCAGCACTTGGCTTACAAGTTGAGAAGATTTGGTTCTCTCTGTTAAAAGCAGTGAATGGTAAACAGATATTTGTTACTTTGATATGATTGGAAAAAGCTAAGAAGCAGCAACAAAATCATGAGGGGACGTTTTAAAGGTGATTGGGGCCAGGCCCAGAGATCTGACTGAGGAACGTTCAAGAGAATAAAACGTCCATGTTTGTGTTTTATCCAAGTGAAAACAAAGAATAGCTTTGGGGGGCAATGTAACAGTAAATGGAAATGTCTTTTAATTGGATATCACACATTACTGGATGGTTGACTTGCCATCTTGGGGTTTGGCCTGTGTTTTATTCATTTCCGTTGTTAATGTTCTTGATGTGTAACTGTAGCTTTTTTTTTTTATACTGCTGTTCTATTACATCAAGCAGTGACTTATCTCCCAGCATTACTCCCCTCAATAAACGGTCCTCCGTTAATGTTTTCCAGGCAGGTGTATTAGGTTCCTGAGCCTGGGCAGACTTCAGGCACCCTTTGGCAAACTCCTGGTCTCCAGGGGTATAGTGCAGATGCAGTCCGAGCCATTTCTGCAGCCCTCCGCAGCAGCTCTTGTGTGTCTCCAGAGTTCAGCCAGAGTTAGATGGACTTTCTGATTCAGATTTCCCTGTTCAGACACTCTGTGGTAGTCGAAACAATAATAATAATACAGACTCTGCGAAGACTTTCTAAACAGACATTTTTGCTTTTAGGCAGCTAGAGAAATACAAAATAGCAAATCTTACGTGCGAATGCCTGCCACTTTTTGCTTGCTGCTCTGGGAGGGATTCTGTCAGTCTCCTTAGGGGACTGGGGATTCCTGCTTCCTCTCTGCTTAACTTTGTTTATTCTTTTTCCCAATTGGGTCTCCTCTTTCTCTTTAAAATGGTTCTGAAGATAGACAGTTGGGATGGGAATGGAGGAAGGGCAAGCTATTTTAATTGATGTACATACCCATTTGTACAGGTTGTGTATTATATATATGTGTGTGCGTGTATGTGTGTATATATATGTATACACGCACACCATGTGTGTGCATGTATGTGTATATATATATATATATATATACACGCACACCCATTATATATAAAAATACACATTCACAATGTGTGATTGCATATATTCAGTCGGACAGAAGATTTCCATGAGAAGAAAATGGTAAAGTGGAGCAGTCCTTCATATAATTTTCCCTCTAATGAGAAATTTCAGGGGAATTTCTCTGTAGTGAAAGTCAGTAATTAGGCAACAGCTAACATATAGACAAATTCCTTTGGAAATATTTTTCTTTTTAGTTCTAAAGCTTTTAACTCTAGTTTATTTTTATTCTTTTTTATTCTTTTGCCTGGATATGTAGTTTTATGCTGTTTCTTAGCATCAGGTGGTGAAAATAGGAATTAAAACCCTGTTTTTAATATATAACACACGTGTCTTCGTTCCCTTAGCAAGAAACAAATGAAGAAGTATTTATGCGTATCATCTTCTTGTGCATCTTAACTGGGAATGACACTTAAGGAAACGCTTAAATACCGTTGACGATAAGCACAAGTTTAAAATCAAGTACTATGTTGAATATTCTCTGCACACGGTTTATTTAATATATTAGATAATAAATTTAACATGGAGTTAAGTGTATATGCACCATGTGTTGGACTGATTTTATTCTTGCAGGTCCTTTCAAATAGATTATAGAAATCTAATTCAAAATAATTTTATTCTCTGTGTCTATTTCAATAGAAATTTTAGCATGCCAAAATGTTGATCGTTCTCTGATGGTCTTAAGTCATTTTTAATTAAGACAAATTGAACATACCAATAGGATGATTATCAAAATTTCAGTGTCTGGAATACTGTAGGCTCTCTTTCTGCTTCTTTAGTTCATCCGTGGTACATGTCCCTGGTGTGAACGACATCCAGTCGTCTTCATCAACAGGCCAGAATCTGACACAGATATCTCGTCAGCTAAATCAGAGTCAGGTTGCCTGGACAGGAAATCGTCCACCTTTTCCAGGACAGGTATTGATTAAAGGTCTTTTATTTTAAAGGTCTTTCATTAGAGGTTTGTAGTGTGTACTTTTTATAAAAGAATTCATTCATCCCATTTATAACGTGATTAAATGTACTTTGTCATTGTTATTTGTGCTTGGAGAGAAATCAGCTCCCTCACTTCTGTTCCGTGACGGCTTGTAAAGCTTGAGACGGCTGCCCCACGCATAACTGCATTTAGTTTGCCATAGTGACGCTTGCTACGCTGACGTAAATCCCAATAGAAGGTCTCAATCCTTCACTTATTTTTCTGTGTGCACTGAAGTGAAATAAACAGGACAGCTGTTACACTTCAGGATTAAGCCCGTGCATTAAATCTTTCTTGGACCAAGCCCTAACACCTAGTAACGTTACCCACTGTTAGCGATGTTATCGGAAAGCAGAGCATACAAATCCAGGCATGCATCCGCAGCCCGTTGCCCTTCCATTAGCGCTACGCAGTGCAGCTCGCGCAGTGTCGTGTGCCGCAGGAGACAGTTCATCGCTCTGTGAGGCACCCTCTGCTCAGGAGCGCAGGGCTGTGTTAGCCCTGAAATCCTCTCTCGTTTTAGGTAACGAGAAAAACCCTGTTTTGAAACTCTTTAAAAGACAGAGAACATGAATTAATCACTTTCGATCTAGCAGTAATGCTGTTCCTGATCACCGTTGGCTTTCCGTTCTTCTGTAGGCTAGAATGGCACACGAATAACGGCAAGCACTAAATAATTTTCAGCAATTGAATTATTTGCATGTTAATCACATTGATGCTGCCCAGCACTCACTGTGCCATGGTTATTCTGCCACACCTGTTTAAAGAAATCCGGCCGAAACATTGGCACAGTTTCCATTTTTGAAAAATATGGAAAGAATGCTAATAATGACTTTAAAAAATTACTCATCCCTCTGACTGTCCAGCTGCTGTCCCAGCCAACAGAATTTGTGTGTGAATGTAGGGAATTTGGAATTCCTTCATCCATCCTCAATAAAATAAAGCAAGAGTTAAGCCTTGCAGAAGTGACATGTCATTGTCACATGCCCATTGTCATTGTGGCAACCTTTAGAAAGACATGATGTCTTAGCTTGGAATGGAACTGAGGACTTAGTAGCATCTTCTTCACATTATATGTCTCTTGGGATCTATTCCCCCGCCCCCCACAACTCCCCTATGTTTGCCCAAGCGAATAGCTCTACTTAAGCACCCTGACTGCCAGTAACAGTGCAGGTTATTAAAAGTATCCAGAGATGTAACCACTTTTGTTTTCTATTTGTGGAACTGATTAGGCAGTGAGTTTTTCTTGGAACTGCTGGATTTGTTCATAATGGGGGAATTGGGGAATACTTTACAAGCAGATTCTATCTGTAGCATTGTGTGTTATTTTAGTACACAATTTTGAGTGAGACACTTCACCTCTCTTAGTCTCCGTGTACCTGTCTCAAAGCGGTTTTGTAGTGTTTAATCATTTGTGTAACTGTCTTGGAGATCCTATGACAAAACTTTCATGTAGATGAGAGAGACAGCAAGTTGTTTTTTAGTACCTTTGAATTAACTCAGCTGCCCACTTAAAGCTAAACTCTTTCTTCCTTCCTCCCAGGGCTGGTGACTCATAGCCCTTCCCAAGCCTTTTACAAGGCAAGATAACTTTGCTCCTTGTACTATTTAGGCGGGGAGAAAAGGCAGCTCATGAGCTTTGCAACTTTTTTGGCCGTTTCCCAAACATTGCAGATTTTGATCATCTGAAAACTGCACCTATTCCCTGAGAATTTGGGTAACTGTGATTTTACTGTGGCACTGCAAAAACCTGGCAAATGGAGATAAATTCTTTACAGCTCTTCATTTTGAGCTTAATTCTTATAGTAGAGGTGAAGGAAGTCAGGTTGTTGCAAATAGCTCTGATACTGAGTACATGTGAGTTAACCAGCAGGAGAGCTGTAAGTGTTGGTTTATAATCGGCTGTTTTTCTTGTGCAGCAGTAAGTTGGTTTTGACAGAAGTTAAATATTGCTAAGATAGGCATAATGTGCCTGCCGTCGTGTACAGAGTTTATTTAGCCTTTGCTTTATGTTGTTAAAACTTGAGTCTGCTGTGCTGCTCCTCAACAATAAAACGCGTTCCTTTATTTCGCCCCCTTTTCCTCAGCAAATTCCGTCTCAGTCTGGCAAGGCTCAGTCGTCACCCTTTGGGATTGGAACAAGTCACACTTACCCAGCTGATCCATCGTCATACAGCCCTCTCTCCAGCCCCGCCACCTCTTCTCCAAGTGGAAATGCCTACTCTAGCTTAGCAAACCGAAGTGCAGGGTTTGGTAAGTTTTAAGTGACATAGCGCACGAATGCACATAAAAATTAAACTCCAGTATTAACTTCATTTAAAATAATCAGACTAGTTCTGGTGGATCTGTTGTTGGGAAGCCCGAGGTGTAAAGGGTGTTTGGCTTCTCCTGTTGAGCGCAGTGGTCTGAGATGACCTGTTTCTTCCATGCTGTGTCTCCACCACATCCAGCAGACTTCAGAACATTGTGACATTTTGTGATACCGTAATACTTCTTTTTTTCTTTAAATAACATCATAAAAGAATCAAAGGTTGCCTACACCACTAGTACGTAGAAGGTTCAGTCCCTTTCTGCTTCTCAGGAGAACATTTAAACGGCACAGACTAGTTTACATTCTTTTTATTTTTCAAATTCCTGGCTACATGACGGTGTTCTTTTGTCCAGAGATGGCTTACCGGAGCTTGGCAGGACATAGTATTTTCTGTACCCACGCTGTACCTCTTCTACTAACCTAACCAGAGAAGGTGGCATGTTTTGAAATGGTTTTCTTTTCCTGTTACATACTAAGTTAGTGGCTTTCAGACTGCGACCCAGTGGGTGAACCAGAAAGCCTTGGTAAGTTTTCTGCGCTCTACCTGCAGAATCATATTCAATGATAAAAAATTATGGATCAACCAGTGATAAACACATGCGGAGTGCATGAAAAATGTTGCTAGTTGATAATAATCGGCATATGCCGAGAAGCTTAGGTACCACTGTGCGAATTTACTTAGTTTATCCCTTGTCTGTTGAGACATAAAATTAATGATACTGAGAATAAAATTGAAGTTCTTTCGTAGATTAGCCTCACTCAAGAGTGTAGACCTATGCTGCACTGCCTGGACTAAGTGCAGGCTAAGTGTATTGAAATGGAACGCTTCCCACAGAGCTTATTCATGACTGTTTCCACTAGGCTTTATACATTTGTTTATGAGATAGGCCTATATTTCAGGCCTAAACTACTTGGCAAGAACCCTTTCACCTAATGAGAAACATTTCCTGACCTACATCACTTTGCAAAGGCTGTGTTAGTAATAGAATACAAAGACAAATGTCTGGAACCTCTGACTGGCAATAACCGTTTTGGTGAAAAGAAGCATCGTTTGCCTCACTGAGTTAATTTCAATGTATTGTTCTGAAAAAAAAACGCAGCTTTCTTTTAAAGAGTAACTTGGATTGATTTTATTTTGACCAGCAAAATGGCTAGAGGATTTCTGAGTCAGCTGAATTATTTGTTGTGGTAAGGTCAGTAAGGGAAGAGATGTAATTATCCACCTCAGATGTGTTAGAAATAAGCCACTACAGCCTGTTTATTTTTGTGGAAAATGTTCACTTTATGTGTTTTGCTTATTTTAGCTGGTAGTCAAAAAGAATTGGGTTAAAGGCATGTTCTTATTTTCTGTAGCAATGGCTATGAAGTAGTGACTGATTTTTCCATTCTTTCTATCATTCTTTGTGAAAACTGTAGATGCTGGTTGTCAGAGACCTGACGTAGCATGCATGTGGAAGTATCTCTGTAGAGTCACTGTTACAAGATCTCAGCTCTTGATGGAGGGTGCTGATAATCTGGGAGAACCAGATCGACTAACCTTGGTTCTCTGCAGGGAGGGAAATAGGCAAAAATAGTAGGAGTTATTATTAAAACAAAAAAAAAAGAGAGCAGAAAAAATGTTTGGAGGGAAAGCAAGCTTGCTTGCTTGCCTGGCAGCAAGTTTTCTAAAATGTTAACTTGTAGAAGATGACATTGCAAGTAGTTCAAATGGAAAGAAAATGACCTAAATGTTTTCTGCAGACTGGCCCCAAATGTATAAGTACAGGGTAAAATCAGAGTCCAGTTAAATGTGAGTGGGGACTGTACTCCTAAGAAGTGTTATGTACACCAGGTGACTGAAGTAATGCGTGTGGCAACATTTTTTTTTTTCCAGTAGACTATTTAAAAGAAATCCATGTCCCTGAAATGATCATTTTAAGTGCATTAGCCATAAACCTTGTTGTTCTCATTACGTGCTAGGAACTTTAAATGGCCTCACACTTTAAAGAAACCATCAGCGTATGAACAGGATAATAATTTAACTATAAGTTGCATGTTATAAATAAATCATTTTGCACCTGTGATATTGAAGGAGAAAATACCCTGCAGACAGCGCTCTAAACAAGTTAATGTCTGCACTTAAGACAGCAAGGCTTTTGGCTGTTGATATTATTGTTTTTACATCCCTTTACAAAGTCTGAAAGCATGCTTACATGAGTAGGTAATATTGCTCCCACTGCTCCAGCAAGGAGGAGTGCTTTAAAGAAAAGGAGCATTCAGACACTGCATTCTGCTTGGTTTTTTAGTCAAATAGCAAATATTCCCTCTTAGTGATTAAAAAAACAGTGGGAGGATGCTAGAAAATTGTCTTCCATTGCCTGGCTTGCAATGTCACAGTACATTTTGTTGTTAGCAATTTACCTGCTGTGACTGTGCAGCCCTGGCAATGAGCTTTGCTCTCAGGCTGGCCTGTAGCCTGCAACCAGTGCTGAAACTCCCTTCGCCTTCCGGCCTCCAGAGGCAGGTGGTCACTCAGGGTCTTTGCTCTGAAACTCATTTGCAAACACAAGTGTTATTAGATGAGGTCTCAAAAAGCAGGCAGGCGTTTTGAAGGAGCTGCTCTCTGACATCTGCCTTTTCCCCCCATCCAGCCGAAGGTGGTCAGAGCAGTGGTCAGTTCCAGGGAAGACCTTCCGAAGTCTGGTCCCAGTGGCAGAGCCAGCACCATAACCAGCAAAGCAGCGACCAGCATTCGCATCCACAGCCCAGTCAGACCGAAGTGTTCCAGGTGAGGAGAGTTCATTGAGCCCAAAGTCCCTATAAGAAGTTCTCACTGCTGATTCAAATAACACTGGCCCTCGATGAGCTGGGGTGTTAGCCGGGCTTGTCACAAGTACCTTTTGCTGTGTGCTGCCGTGGGTTTGCACTCATAATAACTGATGGTAGCTAGAACCTAGGACAGTTTTGTTTTCTGCCAAAACGCAGTAGCGTTGTTGGTTTAAATTGCCGTGTTCCCTTCCTTTTGCTCCCTTTAGTTAGGGCCTTGGCATTTTGTAGAGAAGCCGTAAAATAGTCCTGACTACAGTGTCTGTCTTATCTTGGTGCTGAGCTCTAAAATCCCAGTCGAGTCCAATTAGAAATCAGCCTAATTCTCTTTGATAGTTCAAACGGGAAAGGCGTCTGATAGTGCATAGAAGATAGTGGCCAATAATTTTTGTTAATGCTAAGCACAGTCAGATGTCATACAGCTGGCAAAATAATCTTCTTCAGCAACTTTTTTAATGTTAAGTATAGTTTTAAGCCTTCACTACAGATGGAGCAGGGCTTTATATGTAAACTAATAAGGTCCCTGTCCTTGTATAACTCATTTTTCAATTAGATCAAGAGGACAGTTTGCAACAAAACAATGAAGATAAATGCAGGAAACACAATTCAGGCCTCAAGCAAGGTTTAGAAGTGGGGCACCTTATTATATTTTAAAGAGTAAATTTGCCTGCAAGATGAGGCTTATGCTCGGTTGTTGTCAGGAATGCAGCGGAAGAGGCGTCAGCCTGAAAACGTTTCTGTGTGAACCACTGTTTCGCACAGGAACAAATAAGATCACTACATCTAGAATAACTACCTCTCTGCATGTTGTTGCCCCATGGCCCAGGTAAGATAAAGCAAAGTTGCTTCTCTCTCTGTAAGCAGAGGTAGTCACTTTGCACGTACTTTAACCCCAAAGCATTACAAGTTAATTCCAATGAAACCAGTGGCAGCATGGTTTGATTGTCTGCAGAGCTCATAGAAACAGAGGGCTCCAAGGAGTATCTTGCTTTTGTGTAAGGCAAATGCTGTGGCCCAGTGAACATCTTATGAAATCTGTGGAAGAGAAAGGAAGGAAGAATTGGACTTCACCTGCAGAGTTCTTGGAGCTGAATTTGCATTTGGAGGGAATTAAGCTAGTAGCTGGATGTGATGAGAAAGTTGAATGAGCTCAGTTCAAAGGCCTCTAAGAAGTTGCTTGGACTATGTGCGCCTGAAGCCAGGCGTGGGTTAGCTGGCCATAAGGAAAGAGGAACACTCAAAGGGGGAGCTACCCTGCTGCATCTTTACCTGAGGAGACCTTGGCACAGAGGCCCCAGCAGCAGAAATGCCTTCAAAGGGATGTAAATTTAAACAGGCGGAGGCAGCTACTAGTTCCCCTTAGCTGATGAGGAATGTGGGAAAGCATATAGCAAGCGCAAGATTTGGTCAGAAAATGCAGACCGGTCCTGGCAGCTGAGAAACTGTGCCAGCTCTGTCCATTGCTGCTTTTGTCACCGTTGACAGGAGTGCAAAGGGTACTCAGATGGATTTTAAGCTTTCTTTATTTTGGGATAACTCTTCAGCACACAGCTGCTCTTGCTAGTTATTCCTTCACAGGGCAGATCCTGTGAGGTTTCTTATTTGCTCTTTAAGTTTTGTTTTATTGTAAGGATAATGATCCATCCTTGGCAACACTTGGCTTTGCAGTAAGAGCTTATTATTGTAAGGGTTGACAGGAAAAGCAAGCATAAACTCTGGTTTTCTCAGCAAGGGATGTCTTTTCCCTGTGGCTTCAATCTCTGGCTGGGAAAGAAGGTTGAGTATTTTTGAAGCCTCCTGCAGGGACCTCACTTGGCTTAAGACACGTGGGAGCAATTACCCTGAAAACCCATTTCTACTGAGAAGTTCCCTCCATTGCCTCTGCCTTTGTGAAGTGCATGAGGGCTGCTTCGTCAGCTTGTTAGCCAGCGGAAATGTCTAATCTTTAGCACTTTTCAGAGGACAAAGAGCAGTAATATGCTTACTTAGAGAGTGCTATTGCAAAGGTTAGACCCTCCACAAACCTGTGCTGATACCAGGGAGCTCCTTTCAGTGCACGCTGGGTAGTTGTGCAAAACCAAGCCGTTGAATCACACTGAAAAGGGGAGAGTACAGTACTGGTACGGCTCAGGAAATTACCTGCTTTTAGTGCTTGGTTGTGTGAGATATTGCATACTTCCCATATAGCACTGCCTTCAGCGAAACCAGAGGGCCATCTTCAGCTCCCAGAAGGATTTCAGAGCCCATGAGAAAAAGGGACAGAGGAATTCCAAGTGCTTCTAGTAAGCCTCTACTAACCACTTTGTGTTCCTAGAGGATATTCCACAGGATGCTTTTCCCTTGGTCACCTTCTGCGCAAAGACCTCTAGGGTGATTTAGAACATTTGCCCAGAAGAATAAGTGAGATGCAGAGCAGAATTAGCAAGCGTCTGTTTAACCTCTTCATGTCATCAAAAGATTTTATTTTCTGTGCTGAAAAAAATCACTGGGAGAGTAAAAGCAGCTTCTGCCTTTGCCCATACTCCTATTGCTTTGAAGTATCTGTTTAACTATTAAGTAGCACAGCTCCTCAGCCTCTGTTAAGCACTTGTCACTCCAGAGTATCCTTGACGTTATCACGTCCAGCGATTGTTCCTCAGTAAATGCTTGTCCCGTATCTTAGCCTGTTGCCACAGACTACTTCCATTATGTTTGGGAATTGCTTCAGCCTGAGAGAATTGTATGGGGTAGCTGAAATCTGGCTTATGCAGAGGAGCAATCTGAAGCCTCTGTGCTGCTGAAGTCCCATATCCCTTTCGGAAAAGCTCAAGCAAGACATAAGCAGCACATAAACCTTAGCCCAGCGCCCTGCACAGGTCTGTTTTTCACCTTATTTATCTAGCCTTTGGTCTTTTCTGGCTTTACACTGAAAAGATGAACAGGAAACAGTTTGTGTCTGGATAACATGTTAGAAAGTGACATTTCACTTTGATTTTCCTTATCACACAGGACATGCTGCCAATGCCGGGGGATCCAACGCAGGGTACTGGCAATTACAACATTGAAGATTTTGCTGATCTGGGCATGTTTCCACCATTTTCTGAGTAGCTTGTGAAGCAGAAATGGAGTTCCTCTCCAAGGCCATTTCAATGTCTTTTTGGCTCTGCTTTTTCTGTGTTGCATTTCTGTAGAAGCTACTTAAACAGAAGTCACATTTCTCATATATCAGATAGTGGTGTAGCGCTTGCTCTCTCCTCCTTGGGGTGCGTAAGTGCCAACAGAGGAGTTCCAGCACTTGTTGGTGTTCATTGACAGCTCTTTTTTTTTCTGTTTTATTATCATCTACCTCAGAGATGAAAAACTGCTTGATTTTAAAAAAAAAAAAAAAAATCTCTGAGTCTTAAATATTTGAATGTGAATTATACCTAATATTCCCTTTGGTAATTTTTAAATAGATAAAGAAGTAACAAAGACTAACAGAGAAAAGGTAAGGTAATGTCTCGTTACAGTGCCTACCGCTCAGTTTCGATGCCTTGCTTTAAACTTAAGTTTCTGGAAGCAGACACAATATTCTGTTTTCTTTGATCCTTGTAGTTTATAGGTCAGTTTAAATGTGAGATTAAACAACATAATGTAGGCCTCTGACCAGAAGATTCAGCTCCGCCTTTTCTAACTTAAACTTGAATGTGTGTACATTTTGGTACTTTATGTATATCTTGTGCTATATGAAGTGATTTCTGGTTTCTTTTGCCTTTAAAAAGGGTCCATGCTGGAACGTACTGAAAAGGTTGGCAATATATGTGGAGGATTTAGATGCTGGAGGATTCTCCATCACTTCACATAGGTGTTCTTACTTTTCATTCAGGTTGTTCTCTGTAAGGAACAAATATTTACTTACATAAGCTATTAGTCTGTTTTTGCACTGAACTGAGGCAAATTCTATAAACTCTATAAAATTTCTCACTGGCTGCTTTAATTTCTATTGCTTTCCTAAAATGATTGTCTCATAAAAATGACTGTAAACTCATCCAGATCATCATTTCTGTTTTAGCTGCATTTCCTTTCTGTGAAATACTTTTTATACTGTGAAACCTCACATTTTAACAGCGCAAGGTGGTGGCCTATTGCAACAAAATCATCCGAGCTCATTTGCTGCAAGTGGTGAGATGGTTTTGTAGCGTACAATGTTTTTAAAGCAAGTTGGTAATAGATATCAATCATACTGTTGTCCGCTGAGTACACAGTGATGATGATAACCTGAATTTTTGCTTGGATTCCCAAGCAGTCCCTTCCATTTAAGCCCACCGTATGAGATTTTCAGCTTGCCGAGTGCTTGGAGGTTCTGACTATTCTGAAGGCTATATGCTTTTCTGCAGGGGTAAGTTAATTACCTTCCTCTCGGGCTAATCAGCTACCATATATATTCATGCAAATCTATTAGATAGATTTTTGTTTGATATTGCATATGCGTGCTGAGTTACAGAGACTGGGTTCTAAAATCAACGTTTTTATCCATATGTATTCTCTTGGAATGGAGGAGAAGGAGTTGCTCTTGAACAAGGAGCCCAGGATTTTTTTAATAACCTTTCAGGTGTGGAAGGTTGTAGCCAGCTTTTTCAGAAGGGGGAGAGGGTCCAGCTTCCCTAAGTCTTTGCGTATTCAGGTCTGCCATCACGGACCTTGAAATAGCAACCATGGGGCTTAGCCCCCATCTGAAAGATCTCGGTTTCTGCAGCGATACCTAGACTCTGTGATCTGGCTTCTCATAGCTCCTCTTGAAGTCTGGGGTGTCTTCCAATGGGAAGGGCCACACGCATTATTGCAGCCTGTCTTGCCAGGATAACGTCTTGAAAAGCCACCAGTCCCCCGTCCTGCGGCCCGCCCTGACCACACAGGTTTCATGCTGGAAAGCAGCACGGGCTGCTGGGCCGCAGCGAACGTGACGAGGAGACACTGCCCTAACCCTGGCCACTGCTTTAGCCATACGCTACTTTTCCCATCTGATTTCGCTTTCCTGACCTTCTTGTAGAATAGCATGTAGTTTTCAATATCCAGGAGGAGTCTTTCCTACTGTTGTTCTTGCTATATCTGGAACCAGTTTCTTACCCTACATGCAAGTGGGGCTGGAGACTTTTTTTTTTAGGAAAATTAAATCTATCTTTAGGCTAGATGTAGTGCTACAGAGGCCTCAAATCCTCTGGCCTGTCGTTGCCTCACCAAAATCACACTGAAAACAAAAAGAATTGGAATCTCTTCTCTCCCAGAGATAGGGAAAATACCCTCTTAGGAGAGAAAACCATGCGCTTAAGCATTAATCATTTAAATACACAGATATTTATTCTCTTGGCGCCTTCCCCTTTTCTGCTCGTGCTGCTTGGACGAAGGACCGCTCATTGAATTAGATGAACAAAGCTCTGCTTTCCTCAGTGTGAAATTCGCTGATGTCTATAAAAGATGCCTCTGTGCTGCGCAGGCTGGAGGGAGACGGGCAGCATCCGTGCAACGGGCACGCTTGTGAGAGGAGCAGCAGGGTCCCTAGCGTCTAATCACGAGGGAGAGAGCGGTAATGAGCAGTTTGTGTCTCTGTACAGAAGGTACTTGACACGATGAATTTCAGCTCTTCTAAAATGTTTCAAAAACATTTCTCTGTAAAACGAAAAATGAATTGAAAAATGGTGTTCCTCTGTTTCACTTTACCTGACAGGTTGCTCTAAGTGTATTTATAGTTCACTTTTGTTCCTGAATCCAGTCTAAAAAAAAGTTTTTTATTTATGTAATTTTTTTCTCCCAATATCAGTGCAGATACCTTCCTCAATGTATCATATTTTTTATACTACTGTCGAAGGGTTCTCATATACAGAATGTGATTGTGCAGTTGAAGTGCACTGCTAGCAGAATTGCAAAGCTTTTTTTTTTTTTAATACAGTATT